TGGTTGCTAGGGAGTGGCTAGTAAGTTTAAAGGTCATCAGTTATTGGCTGCTGGCTAGACTGAGTTAAATGAGCCCAGTTAGAAGTCTGTAGGACAGTCTAATGCAGAGTTATGAGGTCACAAAGTTTGACCCAATGTTAAGTCAATGGGAATTTTGGGAATTTTCCGGGTCGTTTTTCGGAAAACCGAAAGTCGGATCAGTCGGAAAAGATATAGCAACCCGAGTCAGACCAGTTTGAAGGTTTGACGAAAGTTTGAGGTATGAAGCTTGAAAGGGTTAGGAGGAGATAGACTTTAAAATTAGTCTCAGAAGAAAGAAGCAGAATAATAATAAGTTTAAGTGAGATAACAGTATGTTGGCTTTTCAAGCCACCATAATTAATCATGCTGCTATCAAATATGGGTTAAATACTTTTAAGGGAACTTTAAGGAAAGTAAAACTATAAGAATAAAGACACACTGCACACTTTCAGGATACAGACCTGTTGTTTTCGAAGGTTTAGTTTGGGTTGAAAATCAGGAGATCTGAATGTGAAAAACAAATACTATGGACGTCAATGGTTGCAGGTTTCCAGCTTTCTCTAAAATATCTTTCGTTTTCAACGGTGAAGGGAAGAGAGAGCAAATGATGATTTATTTATTTTTTTTCATTTTGGGGTAAATTATACCTTTAGTTATTATAATCAGCGGATTACTTCATTAAAAACATATTGTTTTATAGAATCACTTGTATTGTATATCTGTGTATTTTTTCAGGACATAATGTACTAATGTGCAGATTTTGTATGGATGTTTTGGAAAGTCAATTATTATCAAATATGCACTACAACTAAACATGAACTATGCATGTGCATATATTTACATTCATGTATTTGGCAATCGTTTGATTTTATTTAAGTTCAAATGCCAATAAAATGTATATATTCCTAATACTTTATTTTTTATTTATTGAATTAGGAATTAATATTCGTTTGAGTACTGTGTTGTGCATGTCAAGTGGTTGAAAGAGTTCTGAAAAATCATACTTAAGTAAAAGTACCATTACTTGCCTAAAATTTTAGTGCAAGTAGAGTAAAAGTATCTGTTGTAAATATTATTCAAAGTATGAGTAAAAAGCAGCCCTTTCAAAAAGTACTCAAGAGTAGTGAGTAGTGGCTATTACTCTGTAAGAAGCTGATGCATTTATATGTAATTTGTGGATGTGTGTAAACGCAACATTCTGTAGTGCATTCAGTTATTGCCCAGCAGGCACACAATGCCATAAGACATCTATACTAGGTTAGATTTACGTAAGGACAATTTTTTTTTTGATGTCCAATAATGACGTCAAATGACGTTGATATTTGGTTGATTTTAGGTTGTGTTGGAAAGTGACCAACATCCATTATTGTGCCAACATTTTAAACCAATTCTTCAGGGATGGCAACCAAAATTCAACGTCTGATAGACCATAGTGGTAATGTCCACACAACGTCAAGCTGTAACATCATAAGAAGTTGCTTTTATGTTGGCCGTTGGACATTGGCTTCGGCCTGACGTTGAGTTCTGATGTCAACTCAATTTTCATTTACAAAATAAATGAAAAGTCCCCACAACATTGGGGTACAACAACAATCTGACGTCATGTTAATGTCCTGCGCCTGTGTGTTTAAGACCCTTTCAGTCATCATACAGTAAACATCCGTCATCTTCTCATCAGTGACACCATGTAAACTAGGGGTCACCAAACTTGTTTCTGTAGGGCCGGTATCCTGCAGATTTTAGGTCGAACCCTAATCAAACACACCTGAACAACCTAATTAAGGTCTTAATAAGTAAACTTGAAACATCCAGGTGTGTTGAGGCAAGTTGGAGCTAAACCCTGCAGGGACACCGGCCCTCCAGGACCAAGATTGGTGACCCCTAATCTAAACAGTCTCTGGGTCAATGCCTGTAAAGAATTTAAACATTTTCTCTTGGACACTTTTAATGCTTTCAAACAGTTTGATGCAATTATAAATCGCCTATGTCTTGAGGTAATTTATTATGGTAGATTTACCTTAGGTGTGATTTGGACAAGACTCATAGGACTGATTTTTCTAATCCCTCTAGACAAGAAATAAACAAAGTAGTGACTGCAGGTTGAAGGAAAGTAGTGGAGTAAAAGTACAGATACAGCACTAAAAATGTACTCAAGGCAAAGTAAGGGTGCTTTCACACCTGCCTTATTTAGTTCGATTGAATCGCACTAGAGTTCGTTTTCCTTTTTGGTGTGGTTCGTTTGGGCAGGTGAGAATGCAGCAATCGTACTCGAGTGCGCATCAAAAGACTAAATAAGCGTACCGAGACCTGCTTGAAGAGGTGGTCTCGGTACGCTTTCAAATGAACCCTGGATCGGTTTGTTTGTGGTGAGAATATGATCCGTACTAAAACAGGTCCAACCACAAAAAGTGCTGCGCCTTTTGGACTAATTCAGCTGCCGTAGGCCGATGCGCTGTGCATTGTGGGATATGGAGGAAAAATATTTGTTGACAGCGCTTTAACAACAGAGACAAAAGGAAGAGAGAGAGAGGAAAAACATTACCTGATGGATCGTTGGTAATTTTTCCGCAGGATGACCATGTCGCAGTTTAAGTGCCGAGTGACGAGTGATGCATTAAAACATTGTTTTCCAGCCGCAGCCGCGCTTCATTCTCGAAGTTTATAGTTTGTCTAAAGCAGAGATACAATCAGTCAGCGCAGTCGTTCCTCCAGAGTAAAAACGACATTTTGTGTCTGCCGGGTTTTTTTTACCTGTGGGAGTTCACTGGCATTTTCCCGCACGTGAATTCTGCTTAATAAATAAGCAGTTTAGGAAATATATTCAACAACATCTGGCCAATGAGAGATGTGGATTTTGTCAGATGACTGCAATTTGGTTCGTTTCAACTGGTTCGGACCAATGACTGTAAAAAATATGGACGACGCGACAGCCCCTTTTCCCATTAAACGCCTTGAGGGCAAAACGCCTGCTTGACAGGCACAAACTGTCGCAAAAGACTGCTGAAATTGGAGCCTTGACATGCGCAGAAGGACTGTCTGATGGAGCCAGAGGAGGAGCCGCGATAATGAGCGCAGTCGAGCTTCCAACCAAACGCTTTATGTAAAATCAACCACGCCCCTGAACTTCTCAGCATGCATTTACTGTCATATCAATACAAATGGATGTAATAACGTTAACAAATATGAAGGTTTTATATATTCAATCGCGCCAGCTCCGGGCTGCAGCGCACATAACCTACTCGCGGCGTCGCGGGCTGATTTCGGCTCGCATGCGGCAGCGCCGGCTCGCTCGGCCGCCGCATCTGGCTCGATTGACTTGGGCTGGAATCGGGCAGTGAGTACAGGCATCCGGAGTGGGTCCAGCAGAGGTAGTCAGTCTGAGCTCTGAGGGGTAAGTCTCCGGAAGGCGAGAATCTACCCGGAACTGGCCCGAGTGTATTTTGCTATCTGGGTGGCTAGGCGTGTATCAGCAAACTAATAAAGCCCGAAAAAAGCCCTGACCTTAGCGAATAAACAGTGTTCCACCAGGATCATGTATGTCAGAAACTGTATTTTACTGCTGAACTCATTTTGTCATGTTTGTCAACTGTTTACAAAAATGAAGATCTGCACCTATTTCAGCGCAATAACCAGTGCCTTAATCGACCAGAACCATCTTTCGGGACATTTTATTGCAAGTGTAATTAATTTTTTTTATGGGCTCAAGTCTCCTTCATTAACACGGAGGAGGCGGGCTTTATGACTTGTACTGCAGCCAGCCCCCAGGGGGCGATCTAACGGCCGAGACCTTCACTCAAATGCAGGCTTGCGGCACACTTGGTTCGGACCAAAGCCAGTAGTGTGGTGTGAAAACGACCCAAAGACGGCAGAAAATGCAACAATGCATCATTTATTGCCCTTGGTCCGGACCAAATGAAGCGAACTACAGATGAGAAAGCACCCTTTATCTTTAAATCTAAAGATTGATATGAATGATAACAGAAGTGTTAACAATGATTTTAGACAAACAGCACTAGATATTTTCAAACTCTTCCTAATCAAATACACCTGAATCACCAGAACATTACAAGAGACTCCAAAATCTGAAAGTAACAAGTGGGAGGAGACTTTCAAAATACTCTCTATTGTTGTGCCTCCGGGAACAGGTTTGGAAAACACTTGAACAGGCACTTAAAACCAGTGTTACCTGCTAACCCACAGCAGTAAGACTGAGGTAAGTACAAACTTCTTATCTAATGTGTCTGTGTGTACATATATATATATATATATATATATATATATAAATGTTTTAATATAATAAAAAACAAGCTTCTCCTGCTCACCAAGGCAGCATTTACATAATCATAAATACAGTATAAATAGTGAAATGTTGTTCATTTAATAATTTATTTCACTGATTTTTAAGATGAATTTTCAGCTTCATTAATACTGTGTTTCATACTTCAGAGTCACATAATCCTTCAGAAATCATTCTAATAATTATTATTATTAACATTATTATTATTATTGTTCTTATTATTATTATTATTGATAATATTAATAATAATAATAATAATAATAATAATAATAATAATGGTAATAGTAATAATAACAATGATTGGAATAATCATTTAATTTGAAACTACATACAATAAGAAAGCAGTTATTTACAATTTTAATAAATATTTTAATGTTTTTGTTTAATAAATCCTGCCTTGATGAACAGAAATAAATAAATAATAAATATATTTCCTTAAAATACTGTATATTTGTATCACAAATTTAGGTACAGTAAATTTACATATAGCATGTATTTACAATATGAACATTTTAATTAGTTCTAAGATTATCAAATAGATTTGAATAATCAAATATAATTTAGTAATAAATATTTGGCTGAGAGTAACATCTTAAAAAAAGGAATTTTATTACAGAAACATTGATTTAACTTTGTATTAACATACATGAAGCTTTATTAATGCTCTCCTGTTCACAGGAGAGAGACTCGTACATTCTGCTGTTATCTCTGACGTCATCATCATGAGATTATCTCTGCATCTTCTGCTGTTCTTTTCAGTCCTGGCACTTGGTGAGGTTTTGTTTACCACTTGTTAAACTGATCAGTCTTGATTATTTAAAGGCATTAAAAGTGGGCTGATTTCTTTATTTTTCATAGTCAGAACACAAACAACTGCAAAGCCACTGGCAGGTATGTACTACATGTTGTTTTTAACGCTATTTTAACCTGTTTGCACTTTTATTATTATTCATCATTGAGATTAGTATAGTATGAATCAATGAATGGCAAGTTTTTGTTATAAATATGTAAAAGAAAAATCCAAACCAAATAAATGGTAACAGTATGTAGTAACTGTAATTATTATAAATGTCTAAAATCGAACAGATCACCAGTTATTATTTTTTTCGAACAGTTTCAAACACTATAGGCTTTATTTTGACAGTCCATTCGCAAACTGCAAAGTGCAGGTCGCAAACGTATTCAGAGCGTGTCAGAATACACTTTTGCTAATATAAGGGCAGAAAAGTCCGCTTTGCACTGTGGCGCATGGTCTAAAAGGGTTTAACTTATTTTCTTAATGATTTATAGGTGTGTTTTGAGAATAAACCAAACAGAGTCTCTTCTCCCATTCCCTTTAAGAGTTTAAGCGTCACGCAATGGTGCATTTGCTATTTACATGACGTAAAGAAAGTGGAAGTGGAAAAACTGAGCACTTAACTAGCAAGAAAACTGTTAAACAGAGCATCACAGCGCGAGAATTAGAGATAAATTATTTACTTTTACTTTCGCTCTCATGGAAAGGGAAACCTTGTACGCACAGACATCAGTTAGTCTATAAATAATTAATTTTGTTTGTTAAGCGCAAAGATTTGTTTCAAAACTATTTCTAAATTCAGTTCTAATTTCCAGCAAACGAATAAATGAACAATAATAATGAAGTGGGTTCAAAAACCAGGGTTATATTTAAATACACATGCTGTAACCCATATGGTCCAAAACCTGAGAGGTGGGCAAATCTTAGCTTGTTTTTAATAAAACAAATATAAATACAAATGTAATAAATAATACTGCTAATAATGATAACATTATACAAAAGCAAATTGTTATGAATGAACTGAATAAGCCCCCCGAGATGAAAAAGGCATGAAGGCAGTGGTTTTTATATTTATGTAGGCTAGAAAATAATGTTTTGTAATGTTTTAATCTTTTATATTTATATCCTAAACATATTTATTATTTTATCCCATATAAATCCTTAATATTATAATTCTTTTTCATTTGTAAAGATATGTGCGTATTGCTGTACATCTAGTGTGTATTAAGCTGTTTTTAAGCGAGGCATTTGTTTCATGTTTTACCATTAGAAAAAAAATTATAAATATTTGTTACCAATGTTGTTACAGTAGTAAATTCAAAAGTCAATGTCTAAAAAATATAATAATAAATAATAGCTGTTCCATGAACATTTAAAAATTATGCAAGTTCCAACTTAAGATCGGGTACTGAAAAACATGAACAAATAATTAATAAATGATTTTTAAACATGTTAATGAAATAAAAAAATACAGTGGCAGAGATAACTTTAAGCATTGGAACTTAAGACAACACATAGAAAAAGGAGCTGCAAATCCTCACAATGCAAACACATACAAAAATATGCTTCAATTCCTTAGAACACAAACAAATAGGAAAATGTGCTGCAAAAATGCATCGCAAATCCCCACAATGCAAGCACAAAAAGGAAATTGTGCTGCAAACCCTCACAATGCAAACTGAAATAGAAAAACACAATGCAAATCCACACAACATAAACACAAATAGAGAAATTCCCAGCAGATGTCAACACACACAAAAAAGTTCTTTAAATCCTTTCAACGCAAACACAGAAAAACACACTGAAAATTCTCACATTGCAAACACAAGTAGAAAAACAAGCTGCAAATCCTCACAATGCAAACACAAATAAAAGACCACTCGTGTTTACAAATTCCCTTTAAGGCAAGTCATTTCACTCGGCAGCCATCTTTGAAACACCTTTCGGGCAGTATGCTTGGGCATGAATGGGGAATCATCAAATTCTCCAAAACTACTTGCCAAGCTTAGGATTACATTTCATATTATAAATAACCAATAAAATTATACAACAACTGTCTCTTTAGTTTCATTTCTAAATTTTCGTATCATTCAAAATCTGCAGAAACTCATGTCTTGTCTGAGCCCCTCCCCCGGTGAATTGTCATTCTATAGTGATCGCTGATTGGCTCCTGTACTAGAAGGCGGGGCTTCATTTACCAAATTGACAGTTACACTTTTTCCCATTTAAAAGTATACGAGAGACATGTCTTATGTATTCAATAGTCTTTGGTGTGTATATGTGCTGTGTATAATATTTATTTTTTCCACAGACCCACCTTTTGACCCCTGCTATAACTACACTGTGCTGGATGATTCATGGAGATCCACCAAGAATATACACACCAGCTTTGATTCCTATAAAACAATGTGTGACTCTTATGTCCACTGGCTCGGCTGGTATCGTCTCTTCATTAATGGTCAGAGTGTTCAGATGCCAGACACATGTGTTGATATGTGGAGTTGTGGCACTATTGTCCCACTGTGGCTGAATGGAACACATCCAACAGTTGAGGATGGAATGGTCACTCGAGGTGTCTGCGGTACTGCTGACAATAACTGCTGCATAATCCAATCTAACCCCATTAGAGTCAAAGCCTGTCCAGGAGGCTATTATGTTTATGAGTTAGATCAGTGGGCTTATGGCTGTTATGTGGCATACTGTGCAGGTAGGCATATTTTGCATTTGACAATGCATGCATTGTTTTAATGTGTTTGCTTCAAAATCTGTCAGATTTACACAGAGAGTGTACATGCATTCATTACATTTAATAAGCAATATGTATATGTTTTATTTATTTATTTATTTTGCAGATGGTAGGAACATTACTGCCACTCCAGTGTCAAGCTCAGCTGGTAATGTAGTTTGTTTTGCTAATATTATGTTTATGATGGGTCAAAAAAGTGTTTATTATGTGAGCAATATCACATGAGTAGCAGTGCGGTATGACTGTATATCAGCACTGATGGGAGGCTTGCTTTGCATTTCACCAATGCTGATATACAGCCCTACCGCACTGCTATGAGTGTGATATTGCGTGTATACAACAGTTTGACGGCACAATCGTGTTTCTAAAAAAGAAAATCTAACACGGAGAGTATAAAAACCCTTTTTTTATTAGGAACAACTTTCTTCCGCCATTCATTCACATCAGCAGCTGAATTCAGAACAGCAGAAGCCATTACTAATTCACCAACGTCACTTTTAAAGCTAGTGTTAGAATGACTCTCTATAGCGTAATGTCTGAAGTGATGACATAACTGCTGATTTTGCTCACAATTTAAGATTATAAGGCTGAATGTGACATGAAATGCCATGCGTCTACAGAGATATCTCCCTACAGTCTATTACAGTCTACAGTAATTCTCTGTTGTCATCGGTACTTTGATAGGTGCCAGGTGTCCCAGTGTTTACGCGTTTCACCAAAATGCTGTCGACTACATCCATGCCAGTCAATGACAATGAGTAGAAAAAAGGAAAAGAAAAAGACACTCAAACATCCGTCGCAAAATAAAATGTAGCATTATTGAAATAAAAGTATGATACAGCAGTAGAGCGACCATCACACACTCCTCCTCAGAGCTCGCCAGAACTGAACTGAGCTCCCATACATGTGTGATTAACTCAAAGGTCAAACAACCACAGAAGAAGTCCTCTTAAAGGGGACATGACATAGCAAAGTAACTGTATTAAAATAAGCCCTGTCCTTATAAATATGCTGCATAGTTGCAATCTATTAAAAAAAGAGAGAGATCGACTTAGAATATCACTAAACAGTTTAATAATGATTTGATCAGTTGTAGTTAGAAAAAAACGCAGTTTTAATCTTCTAAGCAAGGGCTTATTATGCGGTCCTGGCGCCATCTTGTGGATAGACAACATCAACCGTCTTTGAATGTTTTGAAATAGGCACTCTCCTTCTAAATAAACTGCATAGTTGCAATGTAAACAACTACATTCTCGACTAAAATAGCATCAAAAGTACATTATGTTGCTCAACAGCAGGAATATTTATCAAGCTGCACAGCGTCCTCTGCTTGTATGTGGGTGGAGTGATACACAAAGGTGAAGAGGCCTTTGTGTGCTGTTACTGGCAAAATATCTCACAGCTATTAGCCAATCAGATTCAAGAACCAGACAGAACTGTTGTATAAATAGATATTAGCTGCATGGTGGTGCAGTGGGTAGCACGATCGCCTCACAGCAAGAAAGTCCCACGGGTTAGTTGGCATTTCTGTGTGGAGTTTGCATATTCTCCTTGTGTTTGCGTTGGTTTCCCCAACAGTCCAAACACACACATGAGTGAATTGGGTAAGCTAAATTGGCCTTAGTATATGCGCGTGTATGGTATTTCCCAGTGATGGGTTGCAGTCGGAAAGGCATCCACTGCGTAAAAAATATCCTGGATAAGTCAGTGGTTCATTCCACTGTGGAGCCCCCAGATTAATAAAGGGACTAAGCCGAAAAGCCGAATGAATAAATTATTGAATATTTATACTTATTTGTACAATGACTTAACAGTGGTTCTAGACCTTTTTTGTTTCCTTTTTCTTTTTAACATAAAAGAAGATATTTGGAAGAAAGCTGAAAATGTACTTTATAATATCCATACAAGAAAAAAAATTATGTGGCAGCCAATGTGTCACTGGTTTCTAGCTTTTTTCAAAATATATTTTGTGTTTAACAAACAAAAGAAAGAAACTTGACGTAAAGAAACTGTACTTGAACTCGATTACAAGTTGTCAACTGAAAAAGCCAGTTGCCCAACAATTTTAAGTTGTCAACTTTTTTACAGTTTGCATATTCACTCAAAAATATTTTCTGCTTGTTCAACCTACTTAATAAAATGATCTGAAAAAAAAAAAAAAACAATTCTCAAAATTTCGTTGGAACAACTTAATTTTTTATGTTTTATTCACATAAATTTAATAAAAAATGTTACGTTAATTTTTGTTGGGACAACATGAATGAATTGTGTGGAATCCTGCATTTTTTGCAGTGCTGTAAACTTAAAAAAAAAAAAAAAAAAAACATTCATTTATTTATGAATTTAACTTCTGCTTAGTCTCCATTTCAGGTCGTCACAGTGGAATGAACTGCCAAAAATAACAATAAAAAAATAAAAATAAAAAAACAATTTGCTGCAATAATGATGGCGCAGTGGGTAGCACGATCACCTGACAGCAAGAAAGTCACTGGTTCAAGGTCCGGGTCAGTTGGCATTTTTTTGTGGAGTTTGCATGTTCTCCATACTCTCCAGGTGCTCCGGTTTCCCCAACAAGTCTAAACACATGTGCTATAGGTGAATTGGGTAAGCTAAATTGGCCTGTAGTGTACGAATGAATGTGTGTGAAAGCAGGAGTATACGTGTGTTTCCCAGTGTTGGGTTGCAGGTGGAATGGCATTTGCTGCGTAAAACATATGCTGTATTAGTTGGCGGTTTAATCCACTGTGGCGATCCCTGATTAATAAAAGGACAAAGCTGAAATGAAAGTGAATGAAGAATTTGCTTTTGGGTACAGTGTATTTCCTTTGAAACTTTAAACGTCATGATATTAATGATATGTGTGTGTCAGTTTAAACATATGGGTAGTGTATACCTCATAATGCTTTAGTCACTTTAAAAATTTGTGGCAATTTCTGGAAAATGTAAATGGCTGACCCTTGGGATACAGGCACATCTGATGGAACAGAAGTGGAAACCAAAACCTGCTATCCTGTATATCAACATACTTTTAGCTATCTTGTAGTTATTCCATATTTTATTGTCACATCCTCATGAGTCCACCACCAGAGGTCACCACTAATCACAACCAGAATGAAACATGAAGCTCATTAAGCAGTGTGAAATATAAACTTGGTTATACAGAAACAGTAATGGGTATGAGCTTTTTTTTTTTTTTTTTCTAACGTTGCAGCACCTGGAATCTTCTACTCATTCGGTTTAGCAGCAGGAGACTCAATAAATCCTGCTGTTGATGATGGAGGCTCTTCTGTTATTCCACTGTTGAGTCCATTACAGTACTTTGGCCGCACATACCAGCAGATTTACGTAAGAATTTAATGTTTCAGAGTCAAATGTAAGTCTTGGATACTTTTTAAACTATGTGATTAAAATTTCTTGCTGTGACAGTGTTTCTCACTTTCCAGGTGAATAATAATGGATTCCTCACATTCAGCCAGGCTTCACAAAATTTTGTTCCCTACTTATTTCCTGATTATGGAAATGAAGATATAATTGCTGGACTCTGGACTGACCTTGATAACCGTGAGAAAGGAGTGGTCTCTTATAACCAATACACTAATGGAAGTGTTCTCACTCGCGCCACTCAGGATATCAACAATTATTTCCCAAATCTGAACTTCACTGCTTCTTGGGTCTTTGTTGCAACATGGAATAAAGTGGCTTTGTCTGCATTAACCAACACAGTAAGTTTGATATACTTCTGAAATGTTAATGTCTTCATGTTATCTGTGATTCAATTTTTAAAGCAATTTAATTGTCAATTTTTTTAGGAAACATCGTTTCAAGTAGTTTTAATTTCAGGCAGTGGTTATGTGTTTGTTCTGATGAATTATGGTGATATTGCTGCAACAGGACATCCAGTGGAGGTAAAGCAAACTTTCTATATAGCGGAAAAAAAAATCTGTAATAATAAGGAACTGTTTGCATGAATATTATTTTATATATTTTAGGCTGGTTATGATACTATAAACTCCATAAATTACTTTGTGATTCCTGGATCAAACAATGGAAGCTCCATCTCAAACCTCAACACCTCCAGTAATGTCAATGTTCCAGGTCGATGGGCCTTCAGAGTGGACACTGGACCACACACAATCACCAGTAAACTTCCAGTTCACACCTAACTATTAATTTGTTTTCTATATTATTATTTATTTATTTAATGAAACATGCTAACATAACCATTAATCATTTTAAAATTGACTCATTATGTAATCAACCTTAAGGGCTCTATTTTGACGGTCCATGTGCAGAGCGCAAAACGCAGGGCGCAAATGCTTTCAGGGCGTGTCAGGACGCGTTTTTGCTCATTTAAGGACGTGAAATCTGCCCTGCGCCGCGGCGCATGTTCTAAAAGTGTTGAGTTTATTTTCTTGATGAGTTGTGTGTTTTGAGAATAAACCAATTAGAGTCTCATCTCCCATTCCCTTTAAGAGCCAGCTGCGTCGCGCCAAGAGCGCATTCGCTACTTACAGGACGCAAAGTAAGTCTAAGAGGAAAAAAATGAGCATTTCACAAGCAAACAGTTAACAGTTAACAGTTTTTTAACAGAAAACTGCTAAACAGAGCATCTACTGCGTGAGAATGAGAGATAATGGATCACTTACACTTTCGCTCTTGGATAGGGAAACCTTTACGCACAGACATCAATTAGTCTATAAATAAATACTTTTGTTTGTTAAAAGCAAATATTTGTTTCAAAACTATTTCTAAATTCAGTTCTTATTTCCAGCAAACGAATAAATGAATAATAATAGCAAAATGTGCTCAAAAACCTGAGTTATATCCTAAAACACATGCTGAGCCCCATATGGTCTAAAACCTGACAGGTGGACAAATCTAAGCTTGTTTTTAATAAAACAAATATGAATATGGATATAATAAATAATACTGCTGATAATAATAACATTATACAAAAGCAAATTGTTATGAATGAACTGAAAAAGCCTCCCGAGATGAAGAAGACATAAAAGCAGTGATTTTTCATATTTATGTAGGCTAGAAAATAATATGTTTTGTAATATTTTAATCCTTTATATTTATATCCTATATCTATTCATATTCCTATTGCTCTCTTGTGCGTATTAATAAGTGCGCAAGCGAGGCGCAACTCTGCGCCGTAGTTTAGTCCGGGTTTGTTTTGGTCTAATGAAAAATCTATTATAGTTTCTCAAAATAGCAACGCGCCAGCGGTCCGCCTCAGAACGCCTACCTTTTTACACCAGAACGCACAAATGAGCGCTAATGCATTTCCTATTTAAACAGCGTAGCGCAACGCCTCAAAACGACTCTTGCGCCAAGCTGAAACTACCAAAAGACTACCGCGTCACGCCTTGCGCCACACTGCGCCGGGTGTATGATAGGGCCCTAAGTGTTTTTTTGATGGAAGCTGTTAATGGAAGCATTTATGAGTTTCTTTCTACTTTTTAACACGAAATAAGATATTTTGAATAATGTTTAAAACCTGTTACATAGGAAAATACTATGGTAGTCAATGGGTACAGCTTTCCAGCTTCCATCAAAATATACATCATACCCATCATACCACTCTTCATTCATTATGATAGACTGTGAACAGTGTATAGTAGTTTCCTTTCAGTCATTATTTATCCAACAAATTCAAAATAGCAGATACTGCCCGTTTGCTGGCATTGTTGAAACAATTTCTAAAGATCTATATTAGACAGGTTTTTATTTTAATGATAGATTCATTATAATGGAGGAAATAATAGCAAATTAATACATTGTTTAATGTTTAGTTAATGTGTGTTGTTAAATATAACAATATATTAATACTTTTTTTTATAAGATAATCTATTAAAATACATTTTAATATGACACATTATTGTTTTAGTTTTTAGATTTTATTTTAAAAGGATAATGTAAAATGAACTTTAAAGAAAATCTAAATTTATTAAATATATTAAATATATTATATATATATATATATATATATATATATATATATATATATATATATTTCAAGAGTTGAGAGGCAAAACTGCAAAACCCTCTAAATCCATCAGAACTCTTTTTATGTAAATGAACATTTTCTATCAGGCTACTCTGATTAGGTTTAGAAGTTTCATTTTATTTGTAATACGTTTATTAGACTGTAAATACATTAATATATAAATTATAATATAAAAATAAAGTAGATTTTCTTTTGCGTCAACACCAGCTGAATCCGCTTCTGCTTTTTATGCAAAATCCCCTCAATCCACCTATTGGGGCAAGACAGTGTAATTACATGAAAATAACTAAAGATGCAATTAGAAATTATTTTACCAAACATAAAAACCTCTACACAAACCCTCTGAAATTCTAAGTAAATAAATCTGCCAAGTAAGTGGCAGTTCATTTCACTCTGATAAACCAGGGACAAAGCAGAAGAAAAATGCATGAATTAAATCTGTAAAGTAAGTGCATTAATCAATAACATTTAAACTGACATTACTTAAATCTTAACTATCTGTTGTCATTTCTGATATTTGGTATTTAGATTTAATGTAAGTAGAGCAATGTAAACATTGCAAACATTGTAAACTAAGCTTGGAAAACTCAAATAATGTAATGTTAAAGCATTGTGAAACATCAATATCTGTGCATTGTCCATGGCCACTTGTACTTTTAGGGGGCACACTTTAACATACATCACAAACTACTTAAACAATTATTCAATTGAATTTTTTTCATGCATCACTCTGCAGTCTTCATAAACAAGCTAATTAAATAACTTAAACTCAAAATAATCTTCCATGTTCATTTATTTGACAAGAAACGCATTTCGAACATTAAAGTGCATCAAGGGAAACGTTTGCACTTGTAAACTTTAACAGATACAGTTGAAGTCCCTTGTAAATTTAAAATAGTTTTCCAAGTGATCTTTATCAAACCAAGGAAATGGTCACAGTATTTCCTATATAAAAAAATAATTTTTCTGGAGTCATAATAAGTCTTATTTCTTACAGATTATTTCTTGAATAAAAGCAGTTTTTAATTGTAAGGTCTGTATTACTAGCCTCCTTAAGAAATATTTACTGTATATGTTTTGATTGTCTACACAACAAATCAGTTATACAATAACTTGACTAACTATTACAACTTTCCAAGTAACATAACCTAGTTAAGTCTTTAAATTACTCTTTATTCTGAATCAAAGACTATAGAATACTTGAAGGGACTTTGTCTGAATACAACTAACTTGCAAAATAACTAGTAAAATGTTATGCACTGACTCTCACCACCATGGGAAAGAAAAAAGTAGAAGAAATTAGTTAAACTATTATGATTAAAAACCAGTTGTAAAAAAATCATGTGTTTAAAGACTCGTGCTTTATGTCTTGACTGAAAACAAAACTGAATGAAGGCAAAACTAAACGAGTTGAATATTACTTTAACATGAGCCTGACTGAAAACTATCAATGTGTACATCTGTTCTCCGGTACTTGCCGACTGTTTGTAAATTCAAGACTGCATTTCCTAGCGTGAAACTATGTACACTAGATTTCTGTTTAATAATACCCATAGCTGAGGACTTTCTATGGCCTATTAAAAGTTTTGAAATCGCTATAGAAAACTGAAGGCTAATACTAATCAACAGTGAACATTTTGATTGTTGTTTTTCACAATATGAACATGACTGAAGTTGAATCATTTTATTACCTGTGTCATTTTGGAGGTTAATTTCTGAGAATGCGCACAGCACCATCACTGATAGAGAGAGCGAGTGCGCATGAAAGCAGAGAGTGTGAGTGCGTGCGACACGGAAAAGAACACAAGAGAGGCTTCAGTCATTTCTCTGCAGTTTGCCACTGATGGCTGATCTCGCTTCTCTGTAGCGATTTGACAAAAAAAATACAAATTTAGGGGGGCCAGAGGCTAAGCTGGTTGGCACAGGGGCACCCGTGCTCCCTGACCCCCAACACCCCAACCGAACCGCCACTGCTAATTTTCAAAGCTGTTATTCATTCATTCTCACCACACTTAAGGTCTTGGTCTATTGTTTTTCCTTATAGCATCCATGTGGGATAAAAGAACAGCATCTTAACTCTGTCTTTCGTGAAACACAGTTGCCTTTTAATGTACAGTAAATCAGACTCATTCAAAGTAGCATGGCTGCACAAAAAAAAAATGCTATGAATGCATGCTACACCTCGGACTGTACAGTGTTTTCTTTTTTTTTTTCTTTTTTTAAGACATCTTTTAACTACCCTCCTAGGTTCAATACAGTAGATCCCATGCCAGAACTGTATAATATAAATATATAGTAATTTCATTCATTTTCTTTGTTTTCACAGACCTTCCCTTTGACCCCTGCAATAAATATACTGTACTGGACGATCCTTGGAGAACCACAGACAATCGAGAACCCATCGTAATTGGATGTGACTCTACATTAAGCTGGTTCGGCTGGTATCGTCTTTTCATTAATGGTCACAGCGTTCAGATGCCAGACACATGTGTTGATATGAATAGTTGTGGCACTATTGCCCCACTGTGGCTGAGTGGAGGACATCCAACAGTTCAGGATGGAGTGGTCACTCGAGATGTCTGCGGTTCCCTTGACAATATCTGCTGCAATTACCAGTCCAATCCAATTAAAGTGAAAGCCTGCCCAGGAGGGTATTATGTCTATAAATTAGTAAAACCTGTTAGCTGCAGTTTGGGCTACTGTGCAGGTAAGCATACAGTATTTTGCATTTACCTGTGTATCTGTTTGTGCAATGCTTAAACTGCACCATACATCTATGTTTAACAGAGCATTTTGTGAATCAGAGGCGGTTCTCTATAATCCTTCAAAGAAATGTGCCATTTACAATACATAGATTACCATGCTTATTTGGTATATTTAAAACCACTCAGTGAAGTTAAAGTGGGAATCTATTGTAAAAATAGACAAGAGTTTTTGAATGGATGTGAATGAGGAGAGGGTTGGGAGTATTTTATAATGAAGCAGCAAAATCCATTCACTTAATGCTAAAATGCCTCTGTTTGTGATGTGTTCGTAGCAAGCATGTTTAGATCTAAGATTTAAAAAGGAGGACTCTTTATATATATATATTTTTTAGCACAGAATAGAATAAATGTAAAATGTATAATCTCTACAGTATTTCTGGATCAATTGCAATTTGCCTATAAAGCGGGCGTGCAGGTTGCGACACTGACCTTACTGGACATGGTGTATTAACATCTGGAAGTCAGTAGTAATCATGCTAGACTATTATTTGTAGATTTCAGCATTCAACACAATTTGGCCAGATTTGTTGGTTCGCAAGCTGAGGACGAATTTTAGTGTGGCAGTTTGTTGTCAGTGTAGGCAGAAGGATTTTACCCTGCACACCAACAGGCGCTACGTCATAATTATGCCCCCACAAAAGCAAGCTCCTGATTAGTTAACGCGGCGCAAATGTCTGTTGAAGTTCAGATTTTTGAACTCGATCGATTCGTGTGAAACACGCGATACATGCATTAAGCAAAACACTCAACTCAGGCCATTTCATTCTCGTGAATCGCGTCATTTGCATTGCCTCATTCGTGTGTATTTCACCACAAGATGTCTTTAAGACCTTATAAACATTTGTTATGTAACAGTCAAAGGGATGGATAACCCCCCCCAAAAAAAATCATTTACCCACTATTTACTCACCTTCAAGTGGTAATGAACCTTTACGGGTTTCTATCTTCTGTTGAACATTTTCTGTTAAACACAAAGAATTATTTTTTTGTAAAAAGCTAAAAAAAAAAAAAAATGATAGGGGCCTGGATGCAGACCTGGTGCAGATGCAATCTGAGCTACATGCTCACCTAATCCTACTCTGAACCCTACCCCTCACAGTGACGCCACTAGCTTCACTGAGTCCATTGTGTCTGGTTATGCACCACTGAGAGATGCAATCTCAGCTTGCTTCATAAAAGCTGCATCCAGATACTATTAAAAACCCTATAACTGTTGACCTCCATATAGGAAAAACAAATACTATGGAAGTCAATGGTTACAGGTATTCAGCTTTCTTTAAATTATCTTATTTTGTGTTGAACAGAAGAAAGAAACTCAGTTGGGTTTGGAACAAGTGAAGCCTATGTAAATGATGACAGAATTGTCAGTTGTCACTACCCCTTTAAAATGTTACTGTCAAATCACATCCACATAGTTTCACCATCAGAGGTCACCATTGTCGCTACTAATCAAAGCTAAAGACAAACATGAGCTTCCTAAATCTGGTAAATGTAAACAGTAAAAATAGTCTGTGTAATCTCTTTGCAGGATCAGGAAACATCTACACATTTGGTTCAGAAGGAGGAGACTCGATAAATCCTGCTGTTGATGATGGAAGCTCCTCTGTTATTCCACTGTTGAGTCCGTTTCAGTTCTTTGGCCGCACATACCAGCAGATTTATGTAAGACTCTGAGTCCATTATGGTACCATGTGTAAATCTGATTTTTGGAAGCTTTATAAACTTTATAAGTGTGGTTGTGATTTTAACAGTATTTCTCATGTTTCAGGTTAATAATAATGGATTCCTCACATTCAGCCAGGCTTCTTCACAGTATGCTCCCTACTTATTTCCAGCTTATGGAAGTCAAGATATAATTGCTGGACTCTGGACTGACCTTGATAACAGTAAACGAGGAGTCGTCTCTTATCATCAATACACTAATGGAAGTGTTCTCACTCGCGCCACTCAGGATATCAACAATTATTTCCCAAATCTGAACTTCACTGCTTCTTGGGTTTTTGTTGCAACATGGAATAAAATGTCTTACTACAGCTTGATCAGCACAGTAAGTTTCATACTTCTGAACTGATTTAATTAGATGTGTCAGTTTCACTCTGTTGGCAGTAACACATCATGACAGGGAAAATAATACAAATTATTAATGAATAATTAGCCTTTTATGAATGCAATATTTAATACTATAAAACAGCAATTTTACTAAACATTAGTAAAACACTATGTTTAAGTTGATTTTTCTTTTTTTTCTTTTCAGGAAACATCGTTTCAGGTGGTTTTAATTTCAGGCAGTAATTATTCATTTATTCTGATGAATTATGGTGACATTGCTGAAACAGGACATCCAGTGGAGGTAAAAAAAAAATAAAATAAATGAAATGAAAGTCCTTAAACTTTTTTTTCAAAATCAAATTTAAATGACTTTTCATGTACACTTTTAAAAATGTCAGCACTTTAAAGGGTCACGAAACACCAAAACACATTTTTTGAGATGTTGACAGTCATATATACTGTTTGTCCCAAACTGATAAAAACACTATTAGGACACATACAGTTGAAGTCAGAATTATTAGCCTCCTTCTAATTTTTTTTCTTCTTTTTTAAATATTTTCCAAATGATGTTCAACAGAGCAAGGACATTTTCACAGTATGTCTGATAATATTTTTTCTTCTAGAAAAAGTTTTGTTTCGGCTAGAATTAAAGCAGTTTTTAATTTTTAAAAGCCATTTCAGGGACAAAATTATTAGCCCCTTTAAGCTATTTTTTTCTTGACAACCTACAGAACAATCTACTGTTATACAATAACTTGCCTAATTAACCTAACCTGCCTAGTTAACCTAATTAACCTAGTTAAACCTTTAAATGTCACTTTAAGCTGTATAGGTGTCTTGAAAAATATTTAGTCAAATATTTTTTACTGTCATCATGACAAAGATAAAATAAATCAGTTATTAGAGATGAGTTATTAAAAAAAATGTTTAGAAATGTGTTGAAAAAATATTCTCCCAGTTAAACAGAAATTGGGGGAAAAAATAAACAAGCGGTCTAATAATTGGGGGGTGGGGGTGAAGGGGGCTGATAATTCTGAATTCAACTGTATATTTCACAAAAATTGTGAAAATTGGTTGTTTTGTGTTATTTTAAGGAAGTTTGTTAAAAAATATAAATACAATTTTGAAGCTTGGCGCAAGAGTCGTTTTGAGGCATTGCGCTACGCTGTTTAAATAGCAAATGCATTTGAGCTCATATGTGCGCCCATAGGCGTTCTGGTCTAAAAAGGAAGGCGTTCTGAGGCGCGTTGCTATTTTGAGAAACTATCATAGATTTTTCAACAGACCAAAACAAACCCGGTCTAAAGTCAAGCGCAGAGTTGCGCCTCGCTTACGCACTGCTTAATAGCCCACACACAAGATGTAGAGCAATACGCAAATATCTTTACATGTGAAAAAAATATATATATTAAAGATATATTTAGGATATAATATGAATAGATATAGGATATAAATATAAAGATTAAAATATTACAAAACAAATTATTTTCTAGCCTACATAAATATGAAAAACCACTACTTTTATGCCTTCTTCATCTTGGGAGGCTATTTCAGTTCATTCATAACACTTTGCTTTTGTATAATGTTATTATTATTAGCAGTGTTATTTATTATATCTATATTTATATTTGTTTTATTAAAAACAAGCTTAGATTTGCCCGCCTGCAGGTTTTAGATCATATGGGGCACAGCATGCGTCTTAGGATATAACTCAGGTTTTTAAGCACACTTCGATATTATTGTTTATTTATTAATTTGCTGGAAATTAGAACTGAATTTAGAAATAGTTTAGAAACAAATATTTGCTTTTAACAAACTAAATTAATTATTTATAGACTAATTCATGTCTGTGCGTAAAGGTTTCCCTATCCAAGAGAGCGAAAGTGAAAATAGATCATTTATCTCTCATTCTCGGTAGATGCTCTGTTTAACTGTTTTCTGTTAAAAAAACTGTTAAATGTTTGCTTGTGAAATGCTCAGTTTTTCCACTTCCTCTTACTTTACGTCATGTAAATAGCAAATGCACTTATGGCGCAATGCAAGGCTCTTAAAGGGAATGGGAGATGAGACTCTGATTGGTTTATTCTCAAAACACACCTTTAACTCATTAAGAAAATGAACTCAACCCTTTTAGACCATGCGCCACGGCGCAAAGCAGATTTTCCCGTCCTTAAATTAGCGAAAATGCATTCTGACACACCCTAAAAGCGTTTGCGCCCTGCGCTTTGCGCATGGACCATCAAAATAGTACCCAATGTGTTTGAGTGTGCAGCATTAATTCATGAGAAAGACTTGGTTCAAACCAATGTGCGCTCTAAGAGATGCCACGTTGTATTGCCAAAACAAGTGGGAGGGGAAGAATTGTTTCGGTACACGGGTTGTCAGTGTTGCGTTTATAAATGTGCTGCAATGAAGATTTTGCTTTTATTCCCCATCTGGAAATGGTGAAATCTGCCGCTCGTCTCCTTATAAAAAAGACATGGCTCCGGTTGGTGTTGATTGTCTTGTCTCCACAGATCTGCTAAGTGTGTAATTAATGTTCTTTGTCTATGTTTATTCAGGGGTAAAGTTAGTTCCTATTGTCAGCAGTACTCAGTTTTTAAAGTCATACCTTAGTCAAAATGATTTCTAAGTTACTGTTTACAGTACGTTAATATCACTACAATATTATGTACTGAAAGATCTGCTGTAAATGCTGCTCTCCGAATGTAAACATGTAACCACAGTAATTAAACTAGAATTTTCGCCTCATTTTGTGACAGAATAGTCTCTACACACACGGCTTTGACACTACCAGAGTGCATCTAAATTACCAACACAATCTCACAGCAATTCGTAACTTTTTGATTTAGTGGCTAGTTCGTATGAATTCGTACGATCTAATTCGTACAATTTAGTACGATTTGCTCATCCCCCAATGACGGTTGGGTTTAGGGGTGGGGTTAGGTGCCACGCCTCCTTTTTAAAATCGTACAGTTTCGTACGACTGAACTCTAAAATGGCAAAATGTAAAATACTTAAGTTTTCTCGTAATGTCAGGCTGAAATTACCGAGAAATGCAGAGGTTTTTTTTCCCCATTTGCTGTGCGGTATCAAACATTCCAATAAAACTACACTTAGCAGTTCCTGGCATCCAACTTAAACTTTGTCCTATGCTACCACTCACTGGTAGAAGAGATATTGTATCTCAATGGGACTTCCTGGTTAAATAAGTGAATAAAAAAATTACTTAATTGAAATGTAAATTACGCATATCTTGCATCTTAAATTGCATCGTTCAGTCATGAAGTGGAAATCTCCATGCATTTTGTGTTCTTACACTTCTTTATCAAAGGGCACAGATCAATAAAAAATACATGCATATGCACAGACTCCAGTTTTCATTTTATATCTACTTAAATAAATGAATGAATAAATTAATTAATAATTAATCTTTATTTCCCATTAGTAAGATAAATTATAAATAATAAATAATAATATAAACAAATAATTTAGCACATCATTTAAAATCTAAGCACTTTTCACATCTTGAAAATGATTAAAATTCAAGCATATTCAAGGATTTCCAGCACCTGTGTAGGAATAGGTTTTAACCCACAGCGGTTCGAACTGTAGTTCATACTGAGCGAATAAAAAGTGATCAGCATGATGGTAAAAACTGTACATTTCTAGTCAAACCATTCCTCTGCAATCTCATACCAAAAACGGAAATAAGAGCAGTATTAATAGCTTAAAATGTGAAAGAGCATTGATATTATGTGATTGTATTGTGTTGCAATATGGAGTAATTAAGTGTTGATGTCAAATCAAAAATAATTCACAAATACTTGAAAATGAAATGATTTAATGACAATAATTCTCTATGGTTACAACTGAATTAATTACAAAATAACTGCATAGAATGATAAAATATGAAATGATAAAACATGTGATAATAATTGTACCCAGCTTAAATGTAAAATTAAAGTTACCAGAGGTAGAGGGAGAGGCAAAGAGAGCAGGCCCAGAAGTTGTCCTGATTGCAGTAGAGTCAGAGAAGATAGACTCCAGTGGAGGAGAGGAGCAGACCAGCAAAAGACAGGCCAGGAAAGGAGACAGAGCAGAGTTTTACACCTATTTGTATCTTTCTTGACCATGTGACTAAAGCCCAAATGCTGAGACATTCAAACTGACCAATCAACATGTGACCACATCATAAAACCCCAAAAGTCCACACACCAGGCTCTGATAATCAGTATCTGCCCTTAGAGTCAGTATGGACCTTCTTGAGTCAAATAGACATGTTTTTTTCATATAAACAAATGCATATGATAATTTAGCCTCTTACACCTGTAAGAACCCTACTGTATGCAAAAGTTTCTGTTCACTACTGTTTTATAGTATACATACTTTGTTAACACTGTTTAAATGAATAATGATCTGAAGAAGTGTAATATTCTGAATATACTTTTAGGCTGGTTATGACACGATACACTCCACAAACTACTTTGTGATTCCTGGATCAAACAGTGGGAGCTCAATCTCAAGCCTCAAGAACTCCAGTAATGTCAATGTTCCAGGCCGATGGGCCTTCAGGGTGGACAGTGGACCAAGTAACATTATCTTGAAAAGTAAAAGTTTGATCTTTCAGCTATGATTGAATATCCTTCATGTAAGGTTTTCGTTTGAGTAATGAATATTTTATTTGTGTTTCCCTTCAGACACTGTTGCTGGAATTCAAGTGAGTTTTTCCTCATATTTAGACCTCACACAGAGTGGAAACGTTCAGTTTGTTTTACAGCGAGTAAGTCATATTACATATTACAAATAATTATACTTAAAAATAGTACTTATTGATGAAGGTATGACCTATCTGTTCATCTTTGTTTCAGGTCAATCAGGAGCTGGTCAAATATGGTCTGCAAAACAACACAGTGCTGAAATTAAAAAAACTGCTGAGGATATATCCGTAAATAGCCTTAAAAAAAAAAAAGACTTAGTTAATTAGATTAACTAGGCAGGTTAGGGTAATTAGGCAAGTTATTGTATAACGATGGTTTGTTTTGTTGACTATCAGAAAAAAAAATGCTTAAAGTGGCTAATATTTACGTTCTTAAATAGGTTTTTAAAAAAATTAAAAACTGCTTTTATTCTAGCCTAAATAAAACCAATAGGACTTTCTCCAGAAAAAAATATATATATTATCAGACATTCTGTGAAAATTTCCTTGCTCTGTTAAACATCATTTGGGAAATATTTGTTAAAAAAGAAAAAAAAAATCAAAGGGGGACTAATAATTCTGACTTTGACTGTATATATGCTCAACATAAATAAGTATACCCTATTTGAAAACGAATTTTTTTTTATGAAATTCTTAGTAAATATGTCATTTATTTTGGTGCATTTGAAGAAAACAGATTTAACAAGTAAACATAATTATCAAAATAGTATTTTAGTCACCGAACATCTTTAGAAATAGAAACTTTATACATTTAAATTTATGCATAATATAAAAAAGAAAAAGAAAAGAAAAAAAACATTACAAAAGTTTTGTTTCTTTTGAATTTAGCTTTTTTTTATTTATTTTTTTACATTTTTATATATTTATCCTTAACAGATTGGTGTACTAATTTTGTTATCATTTGTTATCAAGTTATTTTGTTAGATTAGCTCCAGCTTTGGCTTTAGTACTGATTAATCTAATGTATTTGCACAAATATAATATTGTATAGCTTTTGATAGAACATAATAATTTAAATGAGTGTAATGTGAAGGGTGTACTTATATTAATATTACAGTGGACACAAACATATACGTGATTCTTTAGTAAATGTCAGAAATGACATTTTTTTCTGTTTTCATAATGTGAGTTATTGAATCTAAGCTGCTGAACCATCTTTTAAACCATGATTAGTGAAAATAATAGTCTAATTTAAACTCATTAAAACCATAATGTATAGTTTAAATTGCTTTACTAAAAGTGTCTAAAAATCTTTAACGATTATCTTCTACCTATGAAATCATTAAAGCATGTATATCTGAATTTAATAGACATAATAAGTTGTTGTTTGACAATAATAAAGTCAAGTCCCCTATAAATGAATATATGTATATCTCTTGTATTATTGAAAAATATGAAGCCTTTTTGTGCCAAAAAGGAAGTGCAAACCTCAGGCTGGAGAGAATGGAGGACACTTACTGTACATCTTGAGGTGCTCGTGGAGCTACAGCTCAAACAAAACTTTCCTGGATTGCATGAAGAATAAGATGCAAAAATATCAGCACATTTCAGCGATGCATTTGACAAGTTTTATGAACTTTAAGAAATGCTGATTGGAAGTAGAGTTTTTACGTTCTACACATCAGCTGCAGGGACGGATTGGTCATTTGGCAATTCTGGCAAATGTCAGAAGGTCTGGACCATTTTTTAAATGTGGGCCGGTCAGTTTATATATATATATATATATATATATATATATATATATATATATATATATATATATATATATATATATATATATATATATATATATAGTGTTTTTACATGCAGGCAGCTTTTATCTCTTGCAAAATGTGAATATTATTGTGGTAATGATGATAATAGTAGTAATAATAATAAATGTTAAGCATTAGGCCCAATCAGTGATGGCTGACTGGTTTCGAGATGGACCGACCCAATCAGAGGTTACACGGACCATATCAAAATCTGGAAAGAATGTCAAACAAACAGTGTGCAACACAAGCTAATTTTCAAAGATGGACTGTTAAAAAGGAAAGGCGGTGCCGAAAAGCTCAGAGAAAGCAAAAAAAAAAAAAAAAAAAAAATGGCTCTAAAATCAGACACTGCCAAATGCAGAATATTTACTGAAATATTCTTGAATGGGCCAATGCAATGGCACAGTGGGTAGAGCTGTCACCTCACAGCAAGAAGGTAGCTAGTTCATATCCCAGCTGGGCCAGTTGGCATTTCTGTGTGGAGTTTGCATGTTCTCTCTGTGTTGGCATGGGTTTCCTCTGGGTGTTCTGGTTTCCCACTCAAATGCAAACACATGCATGTGTGTATGGGTGTTTCCCAATGATGGACGTTGCAACTAGGAGGGTATACGCTGCATAAAACATTTGCTGGATAAGTTGGCAGTTCATTCCACTCTGGCGACCCTAGATTAATAAAGAGACCGAAAAGAAAATGAATGAATGAAATAAATATATGTATAAATTTGTTATAAACGGGTTGTTTTTGTTCCAGTCACACACGTTAAATGCTTAAATATCTATTACATATGTTACTGTACAAATGTGCATGTCCATGGGTGGGGCTGTGCTGGTGTGGTAATGTGGGCTGGTGTGGCTACAGTGCCAGGGCTGACTTTTCGTCCCAGTTCGCCCCTAATCCACTGTTACTCCTAATTTCTCTCAACACATATACAGAAGAGCTGACAGTCATAAAATGAAAAAAAGACTAATAATCTTGGGGGAAAAACACAATCCATTACTTTACTCGTTACTTAAAAAAGTAATCTGATTACATAACTTGCGCAACTTGTAATGTGTTACCCCGACATGGTGCTAACAGATCACTATTTCCAAACATGCATTAAATGAGCTCAAGATCAGTAAATCAGGGCCTCGTTTTGTTTTGTGAGATAAAGTAAGTTATTATGTGGCTGGCCATATGTTCTGGTGTATATCCCGTCTTGGGTTAAACTACTTTGTATAACTGTGCAGTCAACTGCTACTGTCAAATTGCATTCCTAAAAAAGTAACTAGCTGCATAAGAAATGCCATTCATGTGGACTTGTCAAATGCACCTTCAAATATGTAAATGCTCCATACTGCGTCACTGAACTGGAAGAAAAAAAAAAGATGCGTAAGAATTACTGATGCCATTCCAATGAAAACATTTTCCTAGAAATGTATTGCCCACAAGCAAATTGCCTAAAGAAGTGTTAAAAACCAAAGTAAGAAAAATCTTCCCGTGCTTGCGTGGGTTTCCCCCAGGTTCTCCGGTTTCCTCCCACATTCCAAAATCATGCACTACAAGTAAATCTAAATTAAGCACTACAGCCAAACTCTCATCCAGCATCATATCTCTTCATAGCAATAGATTCCTGTCATCAGCTGTTATCAAAAAAGGAGGGGTTTTCGAGACATATCTGAGCTCAGAGCTCCCCTCTCGCCCTGCTAAACGGGAGTGAGCTCAGGGCTCTCTCCCAGGACAGCATGCCAAACTTGCTTATAATCAATCATCAGCTGAACTCCTGAAATGTACATACTATCACTTAATGAATAGGGGACAAAGCAGAGTGACGTCACGGCTCCAAAATATTTAGCTTATATCTAATCAAGGAAAACAGACACAGTGTTTGTTTTAACGGCACAAACCAAATCAAGCACAAGCAACCTGTGCTTATTTGAAGTCATTTGAGCAACATGGGGCGGAAAGTGACGTAACACGGTCAAAAAAAGTAATGCTTAAAATCTCAGACCCCAAACCAGCACAAACGTTCGTTTTTGCAGCACAAATAAGCACAAACGTAGTACAAACAAATGGCATAGTATTGGGGATTATTTGTTCTTATGGTGTGCCAACTTCACGGAGGTCAGAAGACAACAGCATGCAAATCAAGGCAAAGGCAGATTCAGCATGACTACTGTAGTGTAGCATGACTCTCTTATGGTTTTATTGTAATACATTTAAAATAATATACATTTTTTAAAAAAACTACAATGCATTAGTAAATACGGTTGAAGTAATTTTTGCTATTTATTTACAAATATTATTAAATAAATTAGGCAATTACCCATGGCAACTTTAATGTATTACAGTTCTGTGATACATTAAAGTGACAGAGATCTGATATTTAAAGGGGCCGTTGCAGCATATCAGTTACATTCCTACATAAAACATGCTTTCGAGCATGAAAATGTTTCGCACTTCTTATCAAATTCATTTAACATGGAAGATCAGGTTGCACATGGTGTGACTTTGCTCCACTTAATTATCCAATGTGTTCATATGTCTGAAATATCCTGAAGCAGCAATACCAGCCTGATCTCACGAGAAAACGTAAGTATTTTACGTTTTGGCAGTTTAGTGGCTAATTCAGTTCAGTTCGAGTTCAGTCGTAACAAAATGTACGATTTTAAAAAGGAGGCGTGGCACCTAACCCCACCCCTAAACCCAACCGTCATTAGGGGATACGCAAATCGTACTAAAATGTACGAATTAGATCGTACGAATTTGTACGAATTTGCCACTAAATGAAAAAGTTACGAATTGCCGTGAGATTGTGTTGGCAATACTGTTTTGTACCGTCGCATGAGATTCACGCTTTTTTAAAGATATATATATATATATATATATATATATATATATATATATATATATATATATATATTACATTAATGCACATCAGTAACTCACCAGTAACATTTAATGCATGTTCCAGTATGAAAACATTGTAAATAATTGAAAATCCGGCGACCGCAATAATCAAACCCTTGGGAACAAACTGTGGTCGGAACCAAAGTTCATGGGTCTGTGTTCTCTGAACTCCTCTCAAGCGGTGGACTTCTACATTCTTATTGCATGCCATCGAACTGCGTCATAGCTCATACCATAAAGTTGACTTGATTTCAACTCTCCTCGACACCCACACCGGAGAAGACATGCTGCGCAGCTCCTAGTCGTTTATCACTGCTTATCGCCGCTGGCTCTCATTGAAAATACATTGTATTTAAACTATTCAAGTACAATGTAAAAACATGCGACTATACAATACTCACATTGTAACTCATTATTATGTTCAGTATAAGGACATCCTAGTTAAGGCCACTTAATATACTATAAAGTGGGACCACATTTTTTTGCAATGTAGATACCCTTCTGAGAGGGTCTCAAGAAAGTGGTATGGTACAGTTTGCTGTTTTGGTGCTTCTGGCAGTGGAAATGGAATTAAATGTGTTTTATACCTTATCATACCATACCATACCACACCATGGAAACCAGGCATTATTGTGTGTTTTTCTAAGCCACCAATGCATGCCAAAACTATAAGTCATGTGATGCCCAGATACTCAAAAAAACCTTATTAGGTTTGTCAAGCCAATATTCCACACTTTCACCGTGTTAGTAAATATTATCAGTAGGGAAGTATTGTAAAGTAAAGTGGGAAGTCAGGATGTGGCATCAGCAGTTTAGCACTGAAAGTCATTTAATATTTGCTGTATGATGCGTCTCTGTTGTTGGCTGTAATGTAAAGTAAATGCACTTGTCTCTGCATCTCAAGCAACTTGACAACAACAACACTACACTTACACAAATACTTTCCCATTGTTCTGTGCTTTAACATTTAATCTACTGTACACTTCCTTGAGAGGTATTATGCATGCCAATGACGTCATTCAGGGATTTCTGTTACAGGTATTTATATTGACATGACATGGTGGCATTTTTGTCAATGTTAATTGCCAATTTATTTATTTGTGCACTTTGATAACATTTATGCTATCTTGAATACAGCTGGGGGTTATGACGAATGCTATAGGTGACCTATTATTTAAAAGCAGAATATAATCTGTTAAGTCTTAATATTATATATATTATTAACATATATATATATATATATATATATATATATATATATATATATATATATATATATATATATATATATATATATATATATATATATATATATATGTTAATGGTTTTAATTTATAGTATTAAAATTTAGTAATTTTTGGTTATTTATAAAGAAATGTATCGGTACTAGCACTGAAAGTCATTTAATATTTGCTGTATGATGTGTCTCTGTTGTTGGCTGTAATGTGAAGTAAATGCACTCTTATCTGATGAAATGTTGGCAACTTGACAACAACAACACTACACCTACACAAATACCTCCCCATTGTTCTGTGCTTTAACATTTAATCTACTGTACACTTCCTTGAGAGGTATTATGCATGCCAATGACGTCATTCAGGGATTTCTCATACAGGTATGTATTTATGTTGACATGACATGGTGGCATTTTTGTCAATGTTAGTTGCCAATTTATTTATTTTATTTGATTTTGTGTATAATTGCAAGATTGTTAAACTCTCAACAATGTCAACAATACGATTAGTTTCTGTGTGGGATTTCCACTCACTGCTTCCGTTCAACAAACCTGCAAAAGGAATAAACACTGATTCGTGTATTATTTGTATTTATCCACATACAATTTAAAATAGATTGAGAAGAACAACATTTTAGAAGGTTGAAAACAAGGACAACTTTTAAAAGTCAGTTTAGTTTCTCAAACAATATCAGGATAATAATACATTTTAAAAGTTGTAAAAGTTGTACAAATATATATTATTAAAGCAATATAATGATGAAGGTAATTAAAAAAGGATAAAATGAGAAAGGTATTTTTTTATAAAATGAGAAAGGTATGATGAAATTTTAATTAATGGCTGTTTGCAATACTATATGTATTTTTTTTTTTTTTGGTCTATGTTGGTACAAATGGATTTAAACATATAATATGTCAAAGAAGCCAAACGTATAAAATATGTCCCATGTAAAATGAAGAGATAAGTAAAAGAAGAAATAAGGTTAAGTAATAGACGAATGATGTATGTGGTAAAGGGGAGGGGAAAATAATAAGCTTGTGCTTCTGCATTTTCAACCATGTTGAAATTTATTTTTTGTTAATGGTATTTTATGTATGATATTTCTGTTAGTAAATAAATACATCAAATCAATTCAAATCAAATCAAAATGGATGTTAAATCTGAACTTAGTAGTTTCCATTGACTGCTGTTTTGTGAATTAGTCAAAGTAATCTCATCTGCTTTTGTTCTGGTCTTCTTCCTGAAACAGTGTGGTATTTTGACAATTTGAAAGTCAATGAAGTTCATTCTAAAAACAGCACATTTGTCATACTGGCTCCAATAGGCTGGCTCGATGTTACTATCTTAAAATCTAAATGTAACATGATAACACAATGTAAAACGAAGGTTATAGGCACAACTACACATTTTCAATTCTCTTTCTAATCAAACAAAATAGTTCAGATAAGGGACACGTCCAAAAAATGCACTGTTGGTGTGTCTATAGATTAGGGTTGGGAATGCTGCCGTAAACACGAGCATTTAAAACCAGTGAAACTTCCTGACAACCCACAGTAGTGAGACTGAGGTAAGAGAATAGCTTTAATCTACATTGTATAGATTATTTGTTCTGTAATGCATGTGTGTGTAATTATGATTATACCATTAAATATGTGCTGTTCTACATTTTATATTTTAATTGAATGAATTGTAATAATGTTTTTTTTAACTTTCTTTAAGTACTATAAATTGAGGCGACACGTATAAAAAATACATAAATATGTATACATTGCTTTTTACCTTATATAATAAATTAAGAAATAAAAAAGTGGGATAATGTAACATTTTCAATATTGTATTTTAGCAATGATTGGGCTATATTTTTATTATTAAATATACATTTTCAGCATTATTACACTTCAGTCTTCAGTGTCACATGATTCTTTGGAAATTATTCTAATGTAAAGATTTGGATGTTACTTGTTATTAGTTTCTCCATGGTTTTACATAGATTTTACAGTCATTTTTGTCAAACTGAATTTGCTGTTCCTCAGGTCTTCAGACATTCAGGGGTACGTTTCCGAAAACCATCGTTAGCCAAGGTCGCAATTTGAGTTGCAACCATAGTTTGTTGACGTGGCGTTTCCCAAATTCGTCGTTCCAATGAACATTGGCAAACTGCCTTGCAAACTTGTACACCTGCAACTACACCTCTGGAGCTGTAGTTAGAAGCATAGTTCCTGGCTGTGTTCTATTCCCATTTATCCCCCTTATGCGCTATTCATTTAGAACATTCTAACATTTAAACTTGGAATAATATTAAAAAGAAAAAGCAGTAAAATCATCACTCTTAGGTATAATTTGCTTTCAAAGTATTTTTACAGTTCAGTTTCAAATTGATTTATGCGTTATCTTTGTAGTGCTATCTTGAACACAGCTGGGGCTCATGACGAATGCTATAGGTGAGCTATTATTTGAAAGCAGAATTTAAGCTGTTACGTCTCAAAACTTGTGAAAACAAATATTTAGCATACGTTAATGGTTTTAATTTCTAGTATTAAAATGTATTAATTTAAGGTTATTTATTAAAAAATGTATCGGTACTGTATATGACATAGGCCTGTTGGTTATTACATTTCTGCAATGGTTATTTCTGCATATACAATATGTCAAATTCTATAAATAGACTTTTCAAAATAGAGAATAAAATAAAATAAATAAACAATATCCTACTTAATAATAATAATATGTATTATTATTATTATTATTATTATATTGTTAATGGTTTAGGCCTAATTTACAGTAGGCTTTTTATTAAGAAATTTAAAAAAATCTTACTTAATATTAATAATAATAATAATAATAATAATATGTATTTTATTATTTCCATTAAGTAGATTTTTTTTTCATTTCTTAATAAACAGCCTACTGTAAATTAGGCCTACAACCATTACAATGTTTTATATATGAGATTAGAATACATGTTAGCATAATGATTTTATATAGGATATTCTTAATAATATTTGTAAAGGAAACATATATAGGTCCTATATGTGCCGTTTAATGCTGTCGCCTAACAGCAAGAAGGTCACTGGTTCGAACCTCGGCTCAGTTGGCGTTTCTGTGTGGAGTTTGCATGTTCTCCCTGTGTTCGCGTGGGTTTCTTCCGGGTGCTCCACAGTCCAAAGACATGCTGTGCAGGTGAATTGGGTAGGCTAAATTGTCCGTAGTGTATGAGTGTGTGTATGTGTGTGTGTGTGTGTGTGTGTGTGTGTGGATGTTTCCCAGAGATAGGTTGCGGCTGGACGGGCATCCACTGCGTAAAAACATGCTGGATAAGTTGGCGGTTCATTCTGCTGTGGCAACCCTGGATTAATAAAGGGACTAAGCCAACAAGAAAATTAATGTGTCATTTATGTATTTTAATTAATACAGAAAATGAGTGCTTGTTTTTTTTTTTTTTTTGCCAAAACTAATATTGGATTTTATAAATGATAAAGGACTCGTACATTCTGCTGTTATCTTTGACGTCATCATCATGAGATTATCTCTGCTTTTACCACATCTGCTGATGTTCTTTTCAGTAATGGCACTTGGTAAGGTTTTGCATAGCATATTTACACCACATCAGTTTTTACACGTGTCTCTTCTGAATCTAACAGTCTTTCTTTTCAACAGTCAGAACACAAACAACTGCAAAGCTACTGACAGGTAATTTTATATTATCGATTAAATTAGCAATTCATTCATTTGCTTTTACTCAGTTTTATATTTTAGGGTATATGGTATTTATGTTTGACAAGGTTTTTACGCTGTTGTTTTCACTATATTGATGGGAAGTTTGGATCATTTTACTGACTCGGATCTTTGAGTCTCATTCATCGAGATGAACAAATCTTTTTTCAAATAATTTTGTTATTTTGGCAAAAATATTATTTAAATGTTGCGAATTGCTTCCAAACACTGCTACAACTAGCCCAAAAGGTCGATCACACGACAAATAAGTCATAAATAGAATACTACAAGAAGGAAAAAATAATTATTCAATATTTACCTGCTCTTTTGTCTATAAAGGTATTCTTGTCACTTTGCTCAGCTCAGCTCTTCATGTCTTCAAATGTCAGTGATTTGTTCACGTTACACTGACAGTCACATATAGCCTTAACCAATGTACACAGTCTGAGCAGATAGGAGCCATGATAATTAGTTCACATTTCAATTAAATTATTTTTCCGGCTCTAAACTCATATGATTGGCCCGTGATGAACGAACGACCCAGACCTGATAGAGGACTCGGGAGATGAACAGATCAATTCTTTTTCTGGCTCTAAACGCATACGATTGGCTTCTGCCTTTCTTCTGACTTGAAATGAACGATATCACCTGCACAAATGTGCGCACGTGCGGATCAACGAATCACTCCCTGAGAGGACTCCTAGTTCCCGAGTCATATTGCAAATTCGTTCAAAATGAACTAATCGTTCATGAACAGCCCATCACTAATTTTCACTTGTTTGCACACTTATCATTCATCATTAATATTAGTGTTTATCAGTGAATAAAAATATCTACATGAACAATGTGTTCTTGCAAAGTTATGAAATAATAAATGTTTTTATTGCAACTATAATTAGAAACTCTCAGATGTCTAACAGATCATTAGTTACGTTTTTTTAAACTCTTTGCTATAACATAAAAATCATCGTCATTGTTCTGCTTAATCATCAATCATACTGTTACATTATTACAGACAACAAACAGAAAGTAATGCAAACCAGGCTGTTTTAATGACAGGCTTGAGCAATGGCGTGCAAATCTCATAATGGCTATAGAAAGTCAAACCGTTTCCCATCGGAAGGAATTCATGGAATGTAGAATAAGCAACAAAAGATACAAAGGAGACATCTCGTGAGAAAACAGTGATAGCATTGGGTCAGAAGAGTTTAAGCAAAGACTATAGAATACACAAGACATGTCACTCGTATACTTTTGAGTGGGAAAGAGTGCAACTGTCAATATGGTGAATGAAGCCCCACCTTCTAATACAGGATCCAATCAGCAATCGCTATATGGCAATAAAGCCCACCTTCTTGTAAAGGAGCCAATCAGCGATCGCAATAGAATGACACTTCTCCAGGGGAGGGGCTTGGACTAGACATGAGTTTCTGCAGATTTTGTGTGATTCGAACATTTAGAAATTAACCGAAAGAGACAGTTGTTGTTTAATATTATTGGTTATTTATTATATGAAATGTAATCGTAAGCTTGGCAAGTAGTTTTGGAGAATTTGATGTTTTCCCATTTCATAGATGGCTACCGAGTGAAATGCCTTAAAGAAACTTTAGTTCAAGTAAGCGTATTGTAGACCAGGTTACTTTAGTAGTGGTGCTGATAAGGCAGTGTAAAGATGATGAAGTTCAAAACCAACCCAGGCTCATTCTGAAAACGTAGTGCCGTGGACGTTTCTGAAGACCGCAAATTACATAGCCGGAGGTATGCAGGGCTGCATTTTTTATTTTTTATTACACTACAGGGAGGTATGACGCAGCTCTTTTTGGCGCTCGCCAGCTAACCACTTACCTCTGTGTCAAGGGCGTTCTCGCCCCAACCAGTTTGTCCAGTTAGTTTGTCGTGTTTGTCGGTGGACTTGAGATGCAGAGACAAGTTGACCATGACAAAGACCAGGTTCAAGTCTGGGAAAAAAATGGCTCCAGAAATCAGGTTAGAAAAAAACAGAATCAAAAAAATAAAACAAACAAAGGAATAACAGGGTGAGAATGTGGTAAAACCTGAAAATGTAGTGAAAATCAGACGATGGCTTTTCTTTTTCTGGACGGCTTTTGTAAATCGCTGGTTGGGTTTAGGGAAGGTAGCGGGTGGGCAGATCAATCGATAAAATTGGTTGGGTTTGGGGGAGGAGAAGGGTGGGTCAGCCGATTGACTGGTCGGCCCCTCAGTCAGTCAGTCAGACAGACGGTCAGTCGACAGCGGCCTCTGCTGGGTTTATGCGAGAACAGCACGGACGCGAACGGCACTCCTTGGAGAAATTTGAGATGCAAAAAAGTGCACACAGCAGCCTCTCGCAAAAACAAAAATATGTACCTCCCGGGACGTAAGCCACAGACACGTGTGTTGCAATGTATAGTTGTGGCGCTCAGGGTCCCCTGTGGCTGAGTGAAGGACATCCAACAGTTCAGGATGGAGTGGTCACTCGAGATGTCTGTGCTCGTGATACCAGCTGCTGTAATGTTAAAGCCCATCCAATTAGAGTCAAAGCCTGTCCAGGAGGTTATTATGTCTATGAGTTAGTTAACCCGTCAATTGGCTGCTATAACGCATACTGTGCAGGTAAGGATATTTAGCATTCACCCATCTATGTGCTTATGTAATATGTCGGTGTTGATTGCTCTTGGAAGAAAATACATTAAATTAATGTAATTTATTTATTTATTTTATTTTTTTTTTTGCAGATTTTGCGAACATTACTGCCACTCCAGCGACAACCTTAGCTGGTAAAGTAGCTTTGCTTAAACTATATATATATATATATATATATATATATATATATATATATATATATATATATATATATATATATATATATATATATATGAGTTGAAGTGAATTATTAGCCCCCCTGGATTATTAGCCCCCGTTTATTTTTTTCCCCAATTTCTGTTTAACGGAGAGTAGATTCTTTCAACACATTTCTAAACATAATAGTTTTAATAACTCATTTCTAATAACTGATTTATTTTATCTTTGCCATAATGACAGTAAAAAATATTTGACTAGATATTTTTCAAGAAACTTCTATACAGCCTAAATTGACATTTAAAGGCTTAACTAGGTTAATTAGGTTAACTGGGCAGGTTAGGGTAATTAGGCAAGTTATTATACAACGATCTTTGTTCTGTAGACTATCGAAAAAAGTTTAAAGAGGCTAATATATTTGTCCTAAAAATGGTGTTTGAAAATGAAACAGTGCTTTTATTCTAGCCGACAGTTCTGTCTGGTTTTTGAATCTGTTTCGAGCCATGAGATATTAAATTAATATCAGCACTGTTACAGCCACTTCACCCATGCGTATCACTCCACTCACACGAGTGGCAAGCAGAGGATTACATTTTGACAAATATTGAAGCTGTTTGACAACATAATGTACTTTTTAGGCTTCTAGTCAAGAATGTAGCTATTTAGACTGCAACTATGCAGTTTATTCATAAGGATAGTGCCTATTTTGAAATATTTATAACTTCAGAGATTCAGTGCTTTGGTTGCCATCAGCCTGTCTGAGCGGACCAAAGAAAGTGACGGTTGACGCTCCATCAAAATATGGCAAAAGAGATCGCATAATAAGTCCTCATGCTGCGCTTTCACCAGAAAGCATATATATATATATATATATATATATATACACATACATACACACACACACATTTCACATATATGAAACATGAACCTCACTAAATACTGTGAAATGTTAACTTAATTAAATGTTAATGTAAATATGTTTTTTTTAACACATGGCAGCACCAGGAATCTTCTACACATTCGGTTCCACAGCAGGAGACACAATAAATCCTGCTGTTGATGACGGAGGCTCTTCTGTTATTACACTGCTGAGTCCATTTCAGTTCTTTGGCCTCACATACCAGCAGATTTATGTAAGAATTTGATTTCATCCTTATTCTAAGACATGATCAGTAGCATCTGTGGTTGTGATATTGAGGGTATTTCTCATGTTTCAGGTTAATAATAATGGACACCTCACATTCAGCCAGGCTTCTTCTGAGTTTGTTCCCTACTCATTTCCTGCTTTTGCAAGTCAAGATTTAATTGCTGGACTCTGGACTGACCTTGATAACCGAGTAAGAGGAGTCATCTCTTATCATCAGTACACTAATGGAACTGTTCTCACTCGCGCCACTCAGGATATCAACAATTATTTCCCAAATCTGACCTTCACTGCTTCTTGGGTTTTTGTTGCAACATGGGATAAAGTCGCTTACTACAGCTTAACCAACACTGTGAGTTTGATAGACTTCTGTTTTCACTTTATTCATGATTCAATTTTAAAATAAATCAACAGCTGAAAAATGTGTGTATGTCAATCTTGCAGGAAACATCCTTTCAAGTGGTTTTAATTTCAGGTAGTAACTATTCATTTATTCTGATGAATTATGGGGACATTGCTGTAACAAGACACCAAGTAGAGGTAAAATAGTTCTGTACTGAGAATTCAGTTTCTTATCACTACTAGTATATGTCCTCTGTAAATACAGATTTTATGAGTATTGTTTTATATACATTTCAGGCTGGTTATGTCACTGTGACCTCCACAAACTACTTTGTGATTCCTGGATCAATCAATGGGAGCTCCATCTCAAACCTCAACACCTCCAGTAATGTCGGGGTTCAAGGCCGATGGGCCTTCAGGGTGGACAGTGGACCAAGAAGCAACATCTTGAAAAGTATGGTTTATCTTGCTTAACATATATTTGATAGCAATCCATGCTTTGTCTGTTTTGTTTGCTTTTTCTGTCCAACAATCACAACTAAGTATTTTATTTGTGTTCTGTGTGTGTGCTTGTGTTAACTTTAGGAGTTGTTGGACTTCAAGTAAGGTTTTCCTCATTTGTAGACCTCACACAGAATGGAAACACTGATATCGTTTTACAGCAAGTACGTCATGTTTATTACAAATATGTTTACTTATAAAATAGGACTAAAATAGTAAAAAGTAGTGCTCATTCATGATTTGTGAAAACTATGTCATTTGTGTTTGTTGGTCTGTCTTCATTTCAGGTCAAACAGGAGCTGGTCAGATACCGTCTGCCAAACAACATAATGATAAAAGTTAGAAAATTGCAGAAGATAAATCTGTAAACAGTGTGTTTTTAAGAAAAAGAAAACATAAAACAAACTAAACCTTTGCATTTAGGATTTATATCAAACCTCACTAGAGATGCAAAATTTCACAACCCAGTACCCAGAAACACCCATACACGAGGGCAAATTTAGTTTATTCAATTCACCTAGACCGCATGTGTTTGGACTGTGGGGGAAACCAGAGCACCTGGAGGAAATCCACCCCAACAAGGGGAGAAAATGCAAACTCCACACAGAAATGCCAACAGACCCAGCCAGGACTCGAACCAGTGACTTTCTTGCTGTAAGGCAACAGTGTTAACCACTGAGCCACTATGCCACCCACTGTGGTAACCATTCATTCATTCATTCATTTTCTAGTCGGCTTAGTCTCTTTATTAATCAGGGGTCGCCACAGCGGAATGAACCGACAACTTATCCAGCACATTTTGTACGCAGCGGATGCCCTTCCAGCCGCAACCCATCTCTGGGAAACATTCACACACACTCCTTCACATACACACACTCATACACTACGGACAATTTAGCCTACCCAATTCACCTGTACCGCATGTCTTTGGACTGTGGGGGAAATTGGAGCACCCGGCTGGAAACCCACCCCAATAAGGGGAGAACATGCAAACTCCACACTGAAATGCCAACAGAACCATCCGGAACTCGAACCAGTGACTTTCTTGCTGTGAGACGACAGTGTTAACCACTGAGCCACCATGCCGCCCACTGTGGTAACCAGTGTTTGGAAAATGTACTTTTAAATGTAATACGGTATATTACAGTATTGCGTTATTTCTTTAAAAGTAACTAAATGTGGTACTTGGTTAACTTACTTAATCTTTACTTGCTCACTGTAGCACTTAATCTTTAAGGAAAATAATGTGTTATGTTACTTTTGTATAATCTTTTTATATTTTTTTGTGGGCTGGGCTTCCTTGTTAGTAATATCATATTTACAATATATGCATATTAAATGTATACATTAAAACTTGTGTTAATAAAAAATGTTACGCTCTTACTCACCAAAAGTGAAATGAGGAGGCTGGAAAAAATCTGTATTGAGGCACAGCTTAAACAAAACCTTTCTGGATTGCATAAAGAATAAGATAAATGGGGGAAAAGATCAACACTTCAGCAATGCAATATATGATGAGTTTGCATTTCACACTTTTTATTAACTTTAGGGGTTACTGATGAATCCTGGATCTGTTTTTGTGCAAGTCAGATGATTAAACGTTCACATTTACACTAGATCTACCGTAAGTCTTTTGTTTAAACATTCTGCACAACACATCCACTCTGATTTCTCCTGATTTCTCTCAACAGTAAAGCAAAAAGCCAGTAATTAAGAAAACAAATGGCTTTATTATGGGGGGAATGGCTTTATTACCAGGGAGCAGAGATATTGCTCTATACTCTTCAACATTAGATGGCGGTAGTGACTCTTGTTCCTCTAAACTCCCCTGTAATCAGCCTAATCACCACCACCTGTTCTTTGCTCTATATAAGACTGCTTTGTATCCTGCTCTGTGTTCAATTTAAATTATAATAGAAGGTAAAGGGAATAGAGGTAAATATAGCCAAGTATTAGAAATAGTAAAATCAAATCACTTTTATTGTCACATCATTAGCAGCACGTGTGCTATGATGAGTGAAAAGCTTAGGTGCTGGCTGCAGACAGTACAAAATACAGATAAAAATGCAAATACAACGACAGTGCAAAATACAGACAGTGCAAAGTAAAAGTAGAAGTAGAAGTAAAAGTAGGAGTAAGAGTACTATGGTGGTTATTATTATTATGGTATTAGTGTACATTGTAGTATTTGAGTAATATGGTTATTATTATAACATAAGAGTAGGGGTGAGGTGTGTGTGTAAGTATGTATGTGTGTGTATGAGAAGGGGTGGGAAAGAGGGTAGTGGGGGGGAGATGATTAGTCTGTAAACCTAACCTCTGGTCCACACTCCGGAGCTAAAGGTGGCGGTAATGAACAAAAACGCTGGATGCCAACCGCTGTAAAATTATAAGCAGAAGAAGAAGAAGATGCTCTCTGTGTTCAGTCCTGAACCCTACCTCTTGCTGTCTCGTCCAGTGTCCAGTTCAGTTATTCTCAAGACTTCATGCTTGCTATATTCCTATTTGATTGTTCTTAGACCCTTGTGTCTATTTTATTTTTTATGTATTTTAGGAAGCTTGGCTTTCCTATTTTTGTTGTACTATTTTTAACCCTGTCTTTAGAAAGAAATTGTCTCTCTTTTTTTTTTTTGTAAAATTTTCTTCTGTAAAGATTGTTATTTTTGGGAATTCATACGTTGAGGACTAACTTTGTTCCTCCTCTGCTCTGACTCGTGTAGTAAGAACTACTGCTAACCACACCGTAGACCTGGGTTCGATTCCCACTCAGACCATAACATTACTATACTGTAAAAATATCAAATGTTTTTATTAGTAAATAGTAAACTTATTGTAACTTGGAACTGTTAAGCTGATTTAAAAAAAAACTTTGTATAATTGTGTGCACAGTTGCTTATTTTTTAAGGCATCAGGTTTTAGCCAAGTCTGTCACAATTGTTTTTGCTTAAAATAAAGATCACAATTTTCTCACAATTCTGTAGATGTAAAATAAAGATGAAGATATGAGTCGGCTATTATTATTGTTATTTCTCAAACATATGGTAAAACAACAATAATAATAGTATGTGTAGGTCTACTGTTGCTTAAAGGTTCAGGACACACGGGAGAACTTTTTTTTATATATATTAACAGATTTGTGTGTGTTGAGCATCAGTTAAGACAATGTTAGCACCTGTCAGCTTTAATTGTGGGGAAAACTGGATAATTTTGAGCTTTTGTCAGCTAATTTCAGCTTCCGGGTTTAAAATGATTTTTGGGGCGGGGTCAAAATCGGCGACGTAGCGAAGTACCGCAAGTGCAATGATGACGCGTCGATTTCTCATTATTATTCATAGCGGAGTTTTCTTATCCTATGAGAAGAGCCGGCTGCTTAATTATTCATGAGAGCATGACAGCACGCGCTTTCCGAAGGCAAGGCAGACGCTGACCTGCCAGACCAGTGCCAAGCTCAAGCTGTGAGACACGGACCCACGGCACTCAGTAGCCGTTTATGAAGGCTCATATGTGTTTGCTTCCATGATCCACGGGGTTTGTTGCATGTTTTTCCCCGCGATCCTGTCAGGGCCGATCATACAGCAAAGCTGTGTGTGTGATGCAAGCATTTTTGTTGGGAGAGCAGCACGAGAATTGGAGAATGGCGGATGTTGTCTTGTATCAGGAGTTCGTTCACATTCAGACACATCGCCGTGCTGCTGTGTTTGCCTAAATCCTCTATATTACCAGCAGGACTAATGGTTAAAATAGACAGGTCAGGAGACCTGCTGCACTAAGTCTGCATTTAGATCGATGATTCAGACCCGGGGATTGAGGGAGAAGTCCTTATTTAAAGTGTTTATATGAACACGATTATCTTTATAATGATATAAATTGTCATAAGCTACAAGCTTCTCATCAGGAGTGAAGCTACTGCTAACTCCAAAAGAAGCTGCACTACAAGTTATTCCAGTGCAGCATTCCATGGTATGTTCACAGATAACAACCAGATAACAACCGCTGAAACTTATAACACAGGCTCATCCAGGTACTGTCCCTGTTCTTTTTTGTTTATTTTTATTATTCAAATTATTGAGAGGTCATCAGTTTTCTGTCTTCTTCTTCCTGGTGGCAAGAAAGCATCAACTTCATTACAGTGTGATTTACCAGATGGCTGTAATACACTACTACAGTATGTGATCTTGTAAGACAACACTGTGCTGCAGATCATTGCAGATTCACCAAATGTATTATTGTTATGGATAAGCTACTCCGCTACTTACTGGTGTGAGAATGCAAATTATCATATGCATTTGTTTATATTGCAAAATATGTCTTTTTCACCAAGAAGGTTCATACAGATTCCCTGTGTGTGGACTTTGGTGGTCACATGTTGATTGGTCAGTTGGAATATCTTAGTATCTGGGCTTTGGTCACATGGTCAAGAAAGATACAAAATAGGTGGTAAACTTTGTCTTTTTTCCTGGTCTGCTCTTTTCCTGCTCTGCTCCTCTCCTGCTCTGGAGTCTATTTTCTCTGGCTCTACTGCTAGCATGCACTCTTTGGGACCTAACATCTGTTCTTTGTCTCTCTCTCTCTCTCTCTCCCTCCCCATCTCTTTCTCTGTCTCATGTAACTTTAATTACATTTAAGCTGGGTACAATTATTATCACATGTTTTTTTTTTACCATTTATGTTTTATCCTTTTATACAGTTATTTTATAACTAATTTAGTTGTAACCATAGCAAGTTAATCATTTAATCAATTTAGTCATTAAATCGTTTAATTTTCAAGTATTTTTAAATTACTTTTGACACTTTTGCTCAATATTGCAACTCATTACAATCACATATTAGCAGCGCTCTCCCACATGTTTAGCTATTAATGCTGTCCTTATTTCCATTATTGGTATAAGATTGCAGAAGAATGGTTTGACAAAAATGTAGTTTTTTTTCAACCCAGGCTCAGAGCCGAGGTTCGAACTAGCAACCCAGTGACGTTCTTGCTGTGAGGTTGGCAGCACTACCTGCGCCACTGCTTCGCCCCTGTATATATATATATATATATATATATATATATATATATATATATATGAGCAATTCCATGCAAATGTCAACCTTGCCATGAAAAAAAAAAATAGTGAAACCCCTTACACAAAAAATGTAGAAATTAAGTATTTTACAGTACTTTAGAAATACTCATAAAATGTCTGTCAATTTTTTCAAACTATAATATTTAATTTAGCAAAGTCACACAAGTGGCAATTTCACATTGGTCACATCCATAACAAAGCTTTTTCCTCATAAATGATAAAATGTCAAATAAAATAAAATCAACAATGTTTGTTCAATAGTGAGCCGACTCTTATCCTTTTGATTAGCTTTATTTCAATTGAATTGAGCAGTTTAATTTTCAGAATTAAAAATATATATATATGTAGTAGACGGTAAACTCAAAGACTTTGATTGTCATATACGTCCATAAGTTAATTTTCCTTATTTAAAATATAAAACATTTTTACAGATTGATATTTTTCTGGTCCCAGAATTCTGTGGTTAGTAGTTTTGCAAAATTAAAATAGTTGCTGCTTCAATATAATGTTAACATACATACATACAATTTTCCAGTTTTGTTCAAACACTTCCTTTGCTGTCAGGTTATGAAATGCAGTTAAAATTGATGTAAATTTTTTTTTTCCATATTTTTGAAAATATGCAAATAATGCACTCTGTATCACTCAACGGTAATGCTTTTGTCTCACACATATATACACAAGTGAAGTGTTTAAAAAAATTGGTCACACTTTACAAAAAGGATTCATCAGATAATGTATTTACTAACAAGAACTAAATATAGTATATTGTTTACTTTCATAGATATTTATATACTTGCATTTTATAATCATACTTCAGTCACTTCTGTGTATATATGTGTATTTATGTGTATGTTGTGTGTGATGTGTATGTTGTGTGTATGACTTCACTTTGGACGGCAAAGTAAGAATCTCATTGTACAGGGAGATGTGTTTCCTTACTGTGCACATGACAATAAACAGTTGAATTGAATATGAACAACATTTGTACAGCATTTATTAATCATAGTTCAACATTTATTAATGTCTAACTAAAAGTTAACATAAGTTAATTAGCTTAGTTAACATGAGCTAACATTGAATGACTGTATTTTCATTCACTAACATCAACAAAGACGAAAAACACTGTAATGAATGTGCTGTCCATTGTCTGTCCATGTACGTAAATGCTTCACCCAAAGTAACTAATAATAATAATAATAAAAAAAATCTAAATAAATATGTGCTACATTTCCAATGCTATTTGTCCATGTATTCAGACATTAGACATGAACTGAACATGAAGTGCTTACGTTGTTCGAAAAAAAACATGTTCATGAAAATGTTTTTCCCTTGAACAAAATGCAAATTGATGCATCAAAAAGCAAAAAAAAAAAAAAAAAAGACTCTCTGAGTGACGCTTATCTTTTTTAAATATTGTCCATGCAGTTTATTGGATTTTAAAGACACTTTTAAACATAACAAGCAAATAACTAATTTCCTATAAATAATTTATTTTGTCTTTGCAATGATGACAGTACACATTAATTGATGAGATATTTTGCAAGATACCAAAGTGTTTAGCTTAAAGTGCAATTTAATGGCTTAAATAGGTTAATTAGGTTAACAAGGCAAGTCATTTGACAGCAGTGGTATGCTCTTTGAATAGATAAATAGAGTTTAATATAATTTCTTAAGGGGGTTAATAATATTACACTAAAAGAAATTAGTCTTAAATGGCAAGCAGCCTTAAAACATACATTACATTTGAAACCAGAAGCTCCCAAGGTCTCACAAAAGAAAGTTTTTTTTTTTTTTATCAATGTTGCATCTTTGAAGTTTGTTATCTTCAATATATAAAACCTAAATGTTGGATGACAGATAAATATCACAATGGACAAACCTGGAAGTGTTTTCCCCCACCTACCCGAGTACCTAAATGAGTACAGAACAGCAACACTTTAAAACCCCTGAAACTTCCTCATAACTAACAGTATCAAGTCTGAGGTAAGTAAAAGCTTTTTCTGTATTTATCAGCTTGATGTTTTATTCTTCATTGTATGCTTTACTAATGTCATGGACTGTAATGAAGATTATGGCTACTGAGATAACAGATTGTACTGAAGTAGTTTGCCAAAAGCTTAATGCTTTAATGGTTAATTTGTTAAAACCGCAATAAAATCCGTCAGTATAGAATAAATATTTGCAGATAATATACGTTGATACTGCTCCTTCAACAGACATTTAACTGACTATAAGAAACTTTGCAAGTACATGTCAACTTATGCTAACTCCAACCCTAACAGTTCACTTATAATCTAATGAGAATTGGTTGGCATGTAGATGCAATGCAACTTCAATTCCGATCAAAATAAAGTGTGACAATATTTCTTATTAATTCTTATTATTATTTTCTCAAGGATTCACAGAAAGTTTCAAACTTTTACGTTTAAATACTTTTTTAACATTTACGCTATAATTCAATAAAAATTTACAAACTGGATTAAAAATAATAATGTATTTTAACATTCAGTGACTACCTCTGCAACAGGGCTCGAAATTAACCTTTTTGTTTGGTAGCACCGGTGCGCTGCGTGATGAAAAGACAACAACAACAACGCGCGCATATGTAGACTTTTTGTAAACTGTTTTGTTGTTTAAATATGCTATTGCATTAATGTGCATACATGCTTTATAAGCCGAAAACAAGGCGCTTCTCACTGCCTTTATGTTGACAAGGAAAAAAAAAAAGAGAACAGACGCGGCCCTCTTATGAAACGACTGAATCAGCTGGGTATCAATTGTGCAAAAGTGTTGCTGTCTGTGTTGTTACAATTGTAATATTTAATAGTATTGTGATATTCAAGATTTGTACATTCATACAGCTCTGGATAACTTAAAACAGCGATTAGACCTTCAGAGCGGCATTAATGCGTCCTGAAGTAAAGCGAAACTGCTATAAACTCCAGCAAGATAGAGTGATTATATGCAGAGCCATATACCTTTATCTCTAAATAAAGTATAGCTATAGAAACTGTGTTCATCTTAACTGAAAGCTTCGTCCTATTTCCTGGCCTCACGCATCGCGCACCTGTCAGTCAGCATGTAACTTTAACTCCCAAAGGGTTAAACAGAAAGCGCACAGCACGGTTACAGAAAAGTTTCCTCTGCAGAGGAGTCGGAGCATCTGGTGAACGTCCATCCCTCTCTGCGCAGCCACATTAACAACAATGCTTTGACAGCACTGGCAATGTTTCTGCCGTTGTCTGTTGTCAAGCGGGGTTAAGTTGGTTTTGTTTTTAATATTCCTGACACATTCAGACGCTCCCTTACTAAGAGCTCCGTGCGAGCTCTCCCGGCTAAACGCTTATTGTGAGGGCTTAAACGGAGCAGTGCTCGTAATGTCAAACGGAAAAAAGTGTTTCCTCACGTTCTTCTTCAACTAGCTCAACTTTTGCAGGCACGCGTGACATTATTGGAAAGGTAGTCACGGGGTGTGTCGCGATTCTCACTTATCACACCATGACACAGGATCGTAGATCTGAGTGTCGCAATTTCGATTTCATATCGTGTATCGTTACAGCCCTATGCGTGAAGAAAATGCCTCAACGAAATCTTGTTATCACAAGAAAATACATTTTTATAACATAACTGAGTGACCAAAAGATACACGGAGTGCTCACCGGCCCTGCACACACTGCTTGACATGAATGAATCTGTTAACAGTATAACTGTGCTGTTCTCACGGGTGCTGTCTGATATTGCACTGATGCTTTTGACATGTACTGTACCCTATTAAATGCATACATCATGTTAATAGCTATAGCGGTCTTCATGAGTAGCGACATTAGTTTACTCAGTGCAAGCCCGTGTGCGATGGTGTACGTGGTGTTACATTTGACATATAGTTGCCACTTGCAATGCGGGCAGCATCTGGCGATTAAATGAAGGATTAAATAGAAGCTCTCGTGCTAGATGTGGCAAACAGTTACCTGAAAATTCCATCCCAGACTTTTCATAGCGGACTTGAAGCCAATGGAAGTCTTTTATCCACTCTTGGAAAAGTGTAGATGTTGGATTAACATTCAGCACATGATAACTACTACTGTGTCATTATTTGTAACTTTAGATGCCATAGTTTCTAAAACAAAATCTGTTATTGTTATCTTCATTCTCATCTTCAGTGCTTTACAATTTTTCGCGGTAGTAGCTCTCTCTGTCATCACAAGCCAGAAGGCATTGACTGAGTGATTGACAGCTGATATTTCAGTGCTAGAGCAGTGGTGGGCCAATAAGAAGAGTGCGAAGGCGGGGCAAGCATTACGGACTTGGATTTGTTTACTGCAGCAAGTTGACATGACAACTGTTTTAAACCATTTCTGAGCGCTGCATTTTTGCATTTTGCATTTTGCATTTCAAGTGCAGACAAAGAGCTTAGAGATGCATTCTGCGGGAATGTTTCCCAAATCGGTGCATGTGGTGAACATTTTACAGTAAAAACTGAACTGGTCGCACACAACAATTTTATGCACTCGCACAAATGCTCCCAAATATATTTTGAGGCCGCATAGATCAAATTTAGGGCGAATATGCGACCAAAATGGTTGCAATTTCGAGCCCTGCTGCAATTTATCAAAAAACATCACAAGTAGTTTATAAGCAGCAATGCAACTGAAACATTATTAAAAAAGTAATCTTCATATTTTTGGAAAGTGTGCAGGATTTTATTTACTTTTTGTCCTTTTTTGTTCTTTCATTCACACACACACACACACACACACACACACACCCCGATCCAGCACTTTCAGGTGTTCTATGATAATTAATTCAAACTAAAACTAAATTATAAGATTACGGATTAACTTAACCTTAAAAGTTTAAAGATTAACTTTTGCATCTGGTGTTACAAAGTGTGTTATCACAGTCTATATGACTTAACTAATGGCATGAAAAAGTTATTTAGAATAGCATATTATTTTATATTGCAGTGCAAATTAAGATGCATATTTAGGGCAACATTCTGACACTCGATGACACTCGAACACAAGTCTAGTGGCCTGGATTTTTTTTTACACTGCTATAAAGTTAATGTTGTTTTTGTGTGTTAACACAGATAAATATGGCCACTGTGTAAATGCGCAGTACAGTTACGATCATATTGCCATATTATATGGTCATGATAACATAATATGTGCCTTCAGTGATTTCCTGAAGATAAATACCTAAAAATAACACAACTGGAATAACTACAGCAGTTGCGATCATCTGATCTCATATTCAAGCTAGAGATCGTGATGATGTGTGCAGGTGCTGTAGTGCTGTCCCTTTTTTTAGGGGTAATTTTTGAAGCCCTTCCCCTTCATACTCTGTTTTAAGAGCCAAAGGGAAGGGGTAGGGGTACAAAAATAGAATTGGGACTGGGCATTAAAATCAGATGCGCAGTTTTAAAAGGCTGATAATAACCCTACTAAATGATCTAATTTTTAATAAAAGATTTACATTTTTATTTGCATTAGATACAGTAGAGTGTAAAACATCATACAGTAGCTGTTGTTCAAATAGCGTGCAGTCTTAGTTTTGATAGCCAAATCATCTGCCTGAGGATAAGAATATGAAAAGATGTCTAGCCCAATCTCTAATCTACACACTAACAATGCTGTCTGCTTACAGAAGAAAACCACATCATCATCATCATCATCATCATCATGGGATCGTTTCTGGTTTTACCTCATCTGCTGGTGTTCATATCAGTGTTTTCTCTCAGTAAGGTTTTGCTGATAATCTGAATGTGTGATCAGTACTGTGGCCAAGATAGCTTAAAATGCTGCAATTTAAGAACAAAAAAGAGCCAAGAGGGGTCTGGATGCAGACCTGGTGCAGTGCAATCTGGGCTGCATCCAATGCTTTTTAATGTACTCACCATACCCCACTTTTTCACTCCATAGTCAGTCACTCCATTAAGTGCATTGTGTCTGAGATTGCATCGCTGAGTGATGCAATCTCAGCTTGAATCATAAAGGCTGCATCCAGATACTATTGGAAAAGCTAGCAATTTAAGAAAAGATCTTCATTCATTTGGCAGCATGCATGCTGGAAATCCCTAAAACGCATACACATTAAGAAAACGCACTGCATTTACACACAATGCAAACAATTTACTAAAACAGCAGCACTTTCTCACAACACGAAAAACGTCGGAACACAATGGAAATGCCTTAAGGGGACTGAAAAACGTGACAGAAGCTACTGAGCCTTGACTGTTGTTCAGTGAAGTTGTGTGTGATCTTTGAAATGTGAGATTTTCTTTGTTTGTTTTAACATCCTAATTGTCCTGTCTTTTGTATTTCATTAGCCTAAATAACCAGAACCTAAATAGCCTGGTCAATGTTTTAGGGTCCCCTTGAAACATTTCCATTGTGCTCCAAGCAATTTGAAAGTGTGTGAAAATGCAGTGTGTTTTATTAATTTGTAAATGCTGTGTGAAAAAGCAGCACATTTTATAAAATTATTATTATAAATTAAATAAAATGTGCTTGCGATGTGAGGATTTGCAGTACGTGTGCTGTCAGAACGGATAAAGATCTTTTCTTAAATTGTTGTTTTAGGGTGCTTTCACACCTAGACTTTTGTTTCGGAGTCTGTCTCATTTGCCCAGTTAGCGTGGTTCATTTGGCATATGTGAAACCAGCAATCACACTTGGATTCGCGCCAAATCAATCGGTCCAAGATCACCTGAATGAGGTGGTCTCGGTTCGTTGAAAACAAACCGGCTATATCTGTAACGAGGGGACTGACACGGAGGGATCCATTATGCAGTATTTATTAGTCACAGTCACACACAAACATCCAATAGGCACAAAGGTGCGAACATACATCAACAGTATCAATAATGATCTTAGGGCTGGTGGCTGACAGACACAGAGTGATTTACCAGGCATGGGTCAGTGGCAGGCGGCGTGATTCAGAATCCGTTAGACAGGCTTGGGTCGAGGGCAGGCAGCGTGGTTCAGAGTCCGTGTAGAAAGCAAGGGTCATGGGCAGGCAGAAGACAACTCAGAATCAGAAACAGTCCGGGGTAATACACAGGAGATCAGGCAGGAAAGAATGCTCAGTAATGCTGGCCGGGGCTAAACAAGACTTCGCACTGAACTGGAGTTTGAGTGTGGCTTATATAGGGAGCGTGGGTGATTAACTAGATTCCGTTCAGGTGTGCACGATCAGTGTAATTGGATGATGTAATGCTTAGAAGTCCGGAGATGGCGGCCTCTGCTGGCCAGCAAGGGGAATGACTAGGACCGAGTCGGTGACAATATCACAGTGCACCATGGATATGTCAGGCATACGGCTATATAAAGCAATATCTGGATGCAGCCTTTATGATGCAAGCTGAGATTGCATCACTCAGCAATGCAATCTCAGACACAATGCACTCAAATGGAATGAGTGACGTCACTTTGAGGGGTAGGGTTAGGGGTGGGGTTAGGTGAGCCCGATAAAATACATTGGATGCAGCTCAGATTGCACTGCACCAGGTCTACATCCAGACCCCTCTCATATGAAGAGAGAATTTTGAGTAGGGCGGGAGGTCATTCCTACCTGTAAATGTGCATTTCATGTTAAATACGAAAGTGAAAGTATGTTAACAATTAACAAGAGCTGTTCGTCCGTAGGAGCATTGACTGAACTGCTATCCAGGGGCTCTGTATAAGAGAGTCTTACCTCTGATTTATATCTGGTGACGATGTCTGAGGGCATCACAATTCAAAATTAAAGTGCAGCTTTCCACTTATAATGTCTTATTGTTCATCGCCAAAAATTAAAATAAGGAGGCATGAGCGGGACTCTGCAAAATAAACCATGAAACTCTGACCAATGTAGGACAAGTTGACTTATACGTGACTTGTTTTAGCTCTTTTGGTCCTTTTAAAAACGTTGCCGTGTGAAAGCAAACCGCACTAAGAATAAAGAGCAACAATGTAACTGTTTTAATCCCTGTTTTGGAACAAATGAATTGATTCACAGGTGTGAAAGCACCTTTAATTTGTGTTTTCTGAAATCGCATCACATTAGGCTCTCTCGGTCACCGTAGATCAGTCCTAATGTGACAAAGACATTAAAAACACAGAGATGTATTTCTGGATTTAATGGTCACACTCTCTTTAACAGCCAGAACACAAACATCTACACCATCAACATCTGTAACAACACCGGCAGGTAAATCTTGACCAAGAAATCAGTAGCGGTTCTAGACTAGTAACTGCTAGAACCAACATTTATTTTTTTGCACATTTTACTCTGCAATATCTAGAATAGATCTTTGGATATTTTATATTACATTTTTGCTGAAAAGGGGAGGGGGAGGGTCTAATAACATTGTTGTTAGACTAAGCAGACAACTAAATAGTAAAAAGTTTGAAACCTCATAAATTGGCAAAGACAATTGTCTAAAACTAGCATAAACTTGTATAAAAATGTGTTCTATGTCTACAATGAAATTGTTTTACAAAAAGAGAATCATAAAATACTATGAAATTACCATGTTACGTTACTTTACAAATAATAATATCAGCATATAGAATTTCAAGTGATGATAGTCAGGCTGCTATTGCATATATTCTGACAGATATTAGCACAAATCGAAAAAGAAAAAACAATATGCCTATTTACACATCAACAAATGACCAGAATGTGTCCCAGTCTGCCACTGCTCTTAATATAATAATAGCTACCCTTAAAACAGCTATAATTTTAGCTACTATTGAAGCGATTGCACAAACTGCAAATCATCTACGCACAATCAGTGGTTAAATATTTTACTGTCACGTCAGCATGAGTTCACCACCAGAGGTCATCATCGACCCGCCTCATTTTTATTCTTAATATTATTTTCTCCCTCTTTTTTCTAAGCAGGATCAAGAATCTTCTACCCTTTCGGTTTATCAGCAGGAGACTCAAAAACAACTGCTGATGATGATGCAAGCTCCTCTGCTATTACACTGTTGAGTCCCTTTCTGTTCTTTGGACGAACATACCAGCAGATTTACGTAAGAATTTGATTTCATATTGTCTCATGGTGTGCATGAGGGTTTCAGATGCTTTAAGAATTCCTTTGTTGATTTGAAAAAAAATCTCTGGTTGTGATATTGACAGTATTTGTTTCAGGTAAATAATAATGGAGATCTCACATTCAGCCAGGCTTTACCACAGTTTGTTCCCTCCTCATTTCCTGCTAATGGAAGTCAAGATATTATTGCTGGATTCTGGGCTGACCTTAATAACGGAGCAAGTGGAGTCATCTCTTATAATCAATACGCTAATGGAAGTGTTCTCACTCGCGCCACTCAGGATATCAACAGTTATTTTCCAAATCTGCCCTTCACTGCTTCTTGGGTCTTTGTTGCAACGTGGGATAAAGTGCCGTACCTTTCCTCTATAGCAGTAAGATCAACACACTTCTGAAATGTTCTTGTTTTCACTTCATGCATGATATTACTTGATCTTATTTATTTATTTAATTATTATTTTAGGAAACATCTTTTCAAGTGGTTTTAATATCAGGCAGTAATTATTCATTTATTCTGATCAATTATGGAGACATTGCTGCAACAGAACGAAAAGTGGAGGTAAAAGAAACTTTTTCCTGTAATGAGAACAAACTGTTACTATTTACTACATTATAAAAGTTTGTGCACCCTATAGTTAGTCAACTGTTTACATCAGTATTGCTTTATATACTTTCAGGCTGGTTATGACACAATAAACTCCACAAATTACTTTGTGATTCCTGGATCAAACAATGGGAGTTCTGTCTCAAACCTCAAGAACTCCAGTAATGTCAATGTTCCAGGCAGATGGGTGTTCAGGGTGGACGGTGGACCAAAAGACAGCATTGTGAAAAGTAAGACTTTCTATTTCTTAAGCATAGATAATATTTTGATATATTTCACATGCAATGTGTTTGTCTGAGTAATATTAACAATGACTAATGGGCATTTCACAGTGTGTATGTGTGTTGCTGGAATTCCGGTGAGATATAAATCGGTTTTAGACCTCACGGAGAATGGAAACGCTGAAATGAAGTTACAGCAAGTATGTCACCTGTACTAAAACTACTTACTGTATACAAATACATTGCTAATAGATGTGTGGAAAGTTTAATCTGTCTGTTTATCTTTGTTTTTAGATCAAACAGGATCTTTGCAAGACAGGACAGTCAAGTGACATAAACCTGGTGATTAAAAAAGTGCAAAATATCTATCCATAATATCAGTAAGCATCCTTGCCCACTGATGATACAAAGCATTCTGTTGATTAAAAAAAAATAATAATAGCATAATTTAATTTAAAATATTTACAATGGCCCAAAACAGTTTGTGAAATACTGTGAAAAGCATTTCCCCTCATTTTTGCCACATTAAGATCTAGTCAAAAATCATTCTTCAGCTCAAATCAGTTAAGGGTTCATTTATTTGTTGTTGTTCAATAACTGTATAATTAATCAGTTATGAGATTAATTAAATACATCTAGAAGAAGATCAGTTCAGAAACATGAAAGAATTAATAAAGTTAGAGACCACTTTTATTTTCTTAAACATCAGATTTCAAACTACACAGATATAACAACTGTTTCTTTAAAGATTGTTTTACCAACCAAAAAATAAATAAATAAATAAACAAACTAAATAAATAATAATTTCACAGCCAATTTGGCATCTACCCCAGTGTCAGTGCAGTGAAAAGCACCTGGTAATGATGTAAAAAAAAGGGGGTTGTTTAAGTCTAAAGCATTGTTTCCCAACCTGTTCCACACCAACAATACATATAGTAGATGTCTATTAGTCTGTCTGTTTATTGTTTGTGTATGTATTTTCATTCATTTAGTTTAAATGTATAAATCTTTTTTAAAGATCTATATGTTTACCATGCCTTTGGGAAACACAAATCTTGTAAAACTCAGAATGGTCATTTCTTGTTTTAATGGTTTTATATATACAGTTGAAGTCAGAATTATTAGCAATCTTTAAATTAGTTTTTCTTTTAAAAATATTTCCCAAATGATGTTTAACAGAGCAAGGAAACTTTCACAGTATGTCTGATAATATTTTTTTCTCCTGGAGAAAGTCTTATTTGTTTTATTTTGGCAAAAATAAAAGCAGTTTTTAATTTTTAAAAAAAAATTTTTAAGGTCAATATTATTAGCTATATTTTTTTTCTCGATAGTCTACAGAACAAACCATTGTTATACAATAACTTGCCTAATAACTCTAATCTGCCTAGTTTGCCTAATTAACCTAGTTAAGCCTTTAAATGTCACTTTAAGTTGTATAGAAGTGTCTTGAAAAATAAAATATCTAGTAAAATATTATTTACTTGCAATTCGATATTTACTTATCATGGCAAAGATAAAATAAATCAGTTATTAGAGATGATTAATTAAAACTATAATCTTTAGAAATGTGTTGAAAAAATCTTTTCTCGATTAATCAGAAATTGGGGGAAAAAATAAATCGGGGGGCAAATAATTCAGGGGTTTCTTAACCTTAATTTAGGTGCATTATTCTTTAATTCAACATATTTTCCATCTAAGAAATGATATATATATAGCTATGAAACAGTTCTACACCTTTATCATTGAATCAGTCATGTGCACATCAATAACTGTCTGGTTTAGCTCAGCTCCCAAATATGACCTCCAAAGACTATGTTGAATAGTTCAGACTGCTGAGCGAATCACTGGTACAACCCTCCCTACTCCCCAAGACTGTACTTATCCAGAGCGCGCAGAGGAGCTGCCAAAATCACTCACCGCTCACAAACAGCACACTGCCTCTTTGAACTTTTACCATCTTGTTTACACTACAGAGCACTGCACACCAGAACAGCTCGACACAGAAACAGTTTCTTCCCTCAGGCAATCCATCTCATGAACACTTGATAATAGTAATTGTGGAACCAACCTCACTACTTGCCGAACCCTTTTATACACATACACAGTTATTTAACAACACAATGCATGCAATTTGCACAGAACAGCTGCACATATAACGTTGCATATAGTAATAGCTCTACATACACTTGTCAATTTGTATATTTGCATTCACTACTTACTTCTCTTTTTTTAAATATATTTATGATCTGTTTTTTGTCCTGTCTCTGTAATTCTGTTGCACTGTAGAAGCTCTGTCACCAAAACAAATCCCTTGTATGAGAGAAAATACCTGGCTATAAAGCTCTTTCTGATTTCTTATTCTTATAAAGCATGGAGATCAGACAGTCTATGTGATGCTGTCATGATGTCAGTGGACCGAAATCTCTAAGGAATCTTTCCAGTACTTTGTCGAATCAATAACTCAAAAATATATGCAGTTCAGATGGCAAAAGAGGCTCAACCAGTAGTGCCTGCCTGATACCTAAGTGACTGTTGAAATATTGTGTCATCATCATGAAGAAGTAAACACTATTTTACTACAATATTTTCCCTTTGCTGATATTTCCTTCATTCTCATCCTCATTCTGTTTATGCTTCCTGCAAATGTTTGTGGTTTTAGTTTCCTCATTATATAGCAAAACATTTATTTCACCATATATTTTTCAAATATACGTTCATATGTTTACATGAATTTATTGTACAAAAACAATAGTGTATATTTCTGATATATATATATTTAAAGGCCTTTGTATTTTCCAAATAATAGAAGGAAGCAAATACATTAACATAGAATTGGAGGAAAATCTGTCTATATACCTGTATGTCATTTCTGCAGTTGTACACTGTCAGAAAAAAGGTACAGTGAGGGTACAATTTTGTTTCTAGAGGGAACAAAATATATAATTGTATCTTTAAAGGTCCCAAATTTGGTCCTTAGAGTACAATTTTGTACCCAATTGGGTTATAAAGGTACTAGCGTTCAGATTTAGGTTTGAAAGGAAAAATTTTTGTACCTTTTATAGGACATCTGGGTACAAAATTGTACTGTAAAGGACCGATTTGGCACCTTTAAAGATACAATTATATATTTTGTTCTATATATATGTTCTATATAACACTAATTTAAATGTATTAATACTAAAATAAATACCTTATTAATATTAAGTTAATAAATAGATTGAAATAAATATTTTAATAATTTTTTTTTCATGTATTCAAATTAAAATTTTCCTTCAAAAAATATTTATAATTTGATATATAAATTGAATGTATTTTTTAATCATTAAAAACGTCAATACTTGTCTTTGCTATCTCAATGTTTAAGACCCTAAATGGGATGTAGAATAGGGACCATACATGTTGCTGTCTCTAAGAATTTGGCTTGTTGAGACGTTAGTAGTGTTTTTACTGAGGCGGTCGATTATGCTGCTGTTAACCCAGAACTTTGCACGATTTTCAAAGAGAAGTTTATTTTGCAGCTCACACTTTTCAGGTAAATTTGCATTAATGATATATAGTCAGTCTCATTTTTACCTTTGAAGCTGTGTTCTGCTGATTTTGTTTGACTCTTGGCATTCCCCGGCTTCAAGACCTCGAAAAAGTGTGGTTGTGGTTTTGTACATTGGCCTGTAGAATGGAGTTGGCTGAGATGTCTACAGCTTATTAAAGAAGTTAATTCAATATGACATCGAAGTCACTGAAGAGGAGAGGGACATACAGAAGGTGAGTAACTATATGTTGTAAAAGCACCCTTTATCACCTTGTCCGCTTAGCGTATTCGCGCCTCATATCTCGTTACTGCTTTATTGATAAGTGTTGTCACTGCAGAATATAATCACAATACTGGAATTTGTAATTATCGATAATGTTTTATATCTTGAGGCCATTTTATAGCCGCAGCTGACCACGCAAATGTTATTTTAGACTGAGGGTTGTCAATTCGCTTGTTAAGTGTGACGTCATTCAAAGCGGCTTCCGGGTCCAAGCGCTCAGTATCAAACATCAAACAGTATGGGGAGACTCATGAAAGGGTAACAATAAGCGTTTACTAAGCACTGTAATACATTCGAAAATCACGATCGCAATATATATGTCCATGCCTTATATCCAATGGCCAGAAAGTGATTAATTTCTTTAGAAATTGTTAAAATTTTGGTATTTGTGATGCAGCAAGCCCAGAGATTGTTGTGTATCATATAAAATATGATATATAATATATAAAATAAAATTCACCTTAATGTGGGATATGAATAAAACGTGATCATAAACAAATATTTTCTCAATTTAAATGAGTGGCGGCTTGGACCCGGAAACAGTATTACATGCGTAACCAACACATCACCACTTAACAAGCAGATGGCATTAGTTAATCTATGGTTATACACACCACCATTTTGTAAAGAAAAATCACAATTTTGTCACCGGCAAAGCGGGCGATTAGACGTGGCTAGTTACAAACGTGGCGTGTGTATTAGAGATGCGCGGATGGCGGTTACAGCTGCGGAATCCGCGGATAAACCGCGGATCGGGCAGATGACGTGACGAAAAATAATATTTTAATTAAATTCGGGCGGGTGGTGGGCGGTTGTACTGTTTTTGTACACATAGCTGGCGCACCAACGAAAAAGCCTAGGACTGACTTCACAGAATGAGAGGAGGAATCGGATACACTAATTCTGTATGAAGTACAGAAGTCTTCATCTACAAACTTCCAAATAGACGGATCAGCAGAGGAAAATCTACTTTCCTTTTGGGAGAAACAAGGCAGTAATTCCCACGTCTACAGCACCTTGTCAAGAGAATTCTATGCATTCCAGCAACAAGTGCGGCGAACGAGTGCTGTAACCTCGTTTCCTTTCCTTGCTTTCTTTCCTCGTCTTTCCACCCCTATATGATGCGAGGGAAGGACGCAAGGAAAAGACTCAAGGACCGAGGAATCGAATCAAGTGAAAAGACACGTCCTCGTATTGTTTAGCATCACTTCAAAGCGTCAGTTAATGCTGGATTTGACTTGCACGTTTGGATTAACTGCATGTCATTAAAGTCATTCTCTATTTTCTAATAATCAATAAAGAAACATTCATTTAATAATAAAAAGGAATAAGCCATTCAAATAAAGAGCTCAGTCAGCAGATGGCGGGCGGGTGCGGTTTTAAAATTTGGTCAAAAATGTTAGTGCGGATGGATGGCAGACGGATGATGAGTTTTGTGATGCGGTTGCGGATGAAATAATAGCCCATCCGCGCATCTCTAGTGTGTATGCATGTACATATCTTGGTTTTAAGTGTC